TCAAAATTAAAAGCATGCAGTTTAACTCAATTTGATATATCGGTTCAATCAGTTGAAAGCAAAAGAGTGGCAATGTTTGTTCCTGTAAATCCTGCTTTCTCATTCTTCTGAAAAAAGATTCTTTCCAAGTGGGACTACTTTATTATATGTTTTCTATTAGCAATTTGTTTTTCAATTACTAATGCTGTCTGCTAATTAATTCTTAGTTCTCATTGTGCTGCGGCTTTTAGGAACGTCTTCGGACATTTTTCGAAGAAATTGGATGGAAAGTATATACTGTACCGGAAACAGCTAGTATATTACTTAGTGGTGGCGTGAAATTCGACAAATTGTCGGAAGTACAAATCTACAAATTTCAGAAAGATCTGTTATTAACTTTGCTGAGAATTGAAACGGTAATAATTTTTTTTTTGTTATGAGTTTGTCGTATATTAGCAAGTAGCAATTTACTGTTCATTTACTAACTGTTCTACCAATTGTCGTGGCTTAAAAGAAAAACCAATACACCATATTATTATGAGTATAAAAAAATTTCACAAGAAATACATTAATATTTATACCTCACTATTATTAAAAACCGTAATAAACTTCACACTTCACTTTGCAGATAACGTTATTCTTCATTAGATGCAGTCGGAAAATCATTGATTGATATGATGAGTATAATTAAGCTTTGTTAACAAATGGATTACATATAAACCATTCAAAAAAGAAAAAAATCAATACACTGCTATCTTTGTTTTAGCATTTCGAATTTTTCATCCTTTAGAAGTGGTAAATTATAAGAAATGGTAGTTACTGTACTGATGAAATATTTTGTCTAAATGATTTCTGTAGTGGTGGTTGAAAAAATTGGCAGGTTTTCTTTAATCAAGCCGCTGCATCAAATGCTGAACGTATCTTGATCATATGTGATCGTGGAGCTATGGATCCGGCAGCATACATCGACAAGAAATCTTGGAATCAAATATTAAAAGAAACGAATTTGGATGAATTCAGCCTACGAGAAGATAGATACGACCAAGTAAATTCCCGAAATTTTATTTTGAATGTTTCGGTTATTATTTGTTAACAGATTATTAATAGAATGTTTCTAAAAGATTGTGTGATTTTTTTCTGAAACAACGAAATAGAAATATAATTACAAAATACATTTTGGAATTTTCAAATAGTAACTTAGTAACTGCTATAATATATTATGTTTTTATAATATATTATGGCTTCGTCGCTTCCTATCACAAAGTCGATGTAGTTACTTTTAAAATCTGATTTCTTCATGGAAACGTTAATGCTTATGGATTTCACTTGTTAATGCCAGCAAAAAGTAGTATTTGGGATAGTATTTTGTGATCATGTTCTGAGGCTGAAATTCTTAAATACCAATGAATATTCAGGACATTCCTGCTAGGTACTTCATTCCAATAGCTCATAAATTGATTTGAAGTGCTATAGCTGTACTGTTACACTAATCCAAATAATTTTTTTGATTTTGACTCTTTTGTTTGCAGATTGTACATTTGATAACAGCAGCAGATGGTGCTGAAGAATATTATACTTTGGCAAATAATGATGTGAGAAGAGAAACAATTCAAAAAGCTATAGAGCAAGATCGACTTACCCGAGATGTAACGGACTTTTTTTAATTGAATATCGATATATTTGTTTTCAGCATTTTTTACTTTTTGAAAATCTTTATGACTTCAAAATTATTATTAGAACTTTTAATAGATTCCTTTCATTCATTTGAACCGTTACTTAATTTGAATTATATTTTCATATCTCCAAGGATGTATCTCTCTGTCTAAGCTTCAGATTTTCTTTCCCCGATTTTAGTTTTGTTTCCAACTGTAAGGGGATAAGGACAGTTTGAGCCGTATGAAAATATGTAAATAATGTTTACTGTTGCAAACTTAATATACGAAATGTGAGTATTGTAAAAAAAGAAATGTATAGGAGAGAAGGATAGAATCCACGAAGCGCTTTTATATTGCAAGTTGATTAAGTCAGCATTCATTGAAATTTATAGTATAATTGAAGTTGTGCGCTGTTCAGTAATCGTTTTTATATAGGTTTGGCTTGGGCATCCACATTTTGATGTAATCGAGAACGTCGGATGCAAATCATTTGACGACAAAATACTGAAATTGACTGCTGCCTTATGCAGTCGGTTGGGTCTTCCTATTCATGATCGATTAGCCTTCAATAGCAGGTAACTTGTGCAGAGATGATTGATAATTCAGACAATGTTTGGTTACGATACATTTGATGCAAAATAGCATTTTGTAGGAAAAGAAAATGGCTTGTTGCATCGTTTGATAAAAACCGCTTGCCACGTTGCGAGGTGTTTATTGTGCGGCATATTTATTTGTGTACCGAAAATCGAAATGTTCAGGTTGATTTTATTTTTTCTCGAAGGATAGTCAGAAAGTTTTTTCTTACTGAGATTACAGAAACTAGTTTGGTTCCTTGAGCAATTTTACTGTTCTCTGACAGAAATGGTTTTGTCTTTGTGTAAACAACGGGAAGGAATGTGCTGATTTTTTTACTGAATAACATTATTGTATCTATTCTCAAGGACATCAGTCCTAATCATTCGTTAAAAGTTCACTAGAGATGGGAATAATTCATTCTTTATTTTAATTTTTCACCTTTGATCATAACTTCTTGTTTCCATCAGTGTGTAAAGTCTTACAAAACTTTTACTTTTCTTATGGCAAATCATACTTAAGGTTCGGTTGCGCTCACGAAGTCAGCATGGCCGCACAACATATGCTATAACAACTCGACGCTATGATGGTCCAGAGCCAGTAGAAACTTGCATGCCGCTGAAATATCGAGAATATATCAATTATATTAAAATGGAAGATCGCTCGAGAGCGCCAATCAACAAGGAACGGAGATGCTTCATGTACGACAAACAGGCATGTCCCTGTTTTGTGTTTTATCTGATTTTTTTTTGATTTATTTGATTTCTTAACTTTTTTCCAGATCAAGTACCAGTAGCCTTCTGTGAAGACTGTTATTGTTGGTATAGAATATCACGCTATGATTAGCAAAAATCACGGAAAACATTACTGAGTAAATTGAAAATTAAATTGGTGATAAATTAAGCTTACTAGGTCTCATGCTCCACTGAAAAGTTTATTTTATTGAACATTAGGATGGTTCCAGCGTTTTTTGAGTTTAGATACTGATGTTCTACTTTCAATTGTCACTTGAAGTATTCTTTAAGAAGTGCATTATTTATTTAACTAACTTTATGGAATTTATTTCTATGCAATTTCCAGTGCTATCATTTGGATAAGTATACTTCACCATTGCCGCCATCATGCGAGGGAAAACCATTAATGTTACTGGAAGCATACACGACGGCTCCAGTCGGCGATGCCAACGACCCATTGTTACCTGATTTTATGACTATTTTAAAAGAAGTAACAGATGATCCAGCATACAGTATGTATACAATTGCAAATCGAAATGCTAAGACGACCGAGAAAAGCTAACATTTTGTTTTATCACTCCGTAGTACTCTTATCATTCTTATTATCTGTAGCATTAAACTAGTTAGAAGTTGTGCAGTGACATGACCCTATATTATATAGTCTGAGTTTTTCTAAATTAGGTGTGTTTTCAACTTTACTTACACAGAAATCTTGGATTGGGAGAGGTGCGGATGAGCTCATAAGGCCGTACATGTTTGCGAAGCTATGATAGTTTTCAATAAATAATTTTCCTCTCTGGGAAATGATATTGGTCATGAATAGGATTTTGTTGGAATGAAGCAATGAAGTAATTATTAAAAAGATAAATATCTAAAGTCCAAAATTTGCGGACGTTTTCTCAAGTTCCTATGTTATTAAATTCTTTCGGTTTGTTCTGTCTGCATAGTTTATTTTCTAAGATAGTTCTTTCATACATGATATTAATTTTTAAATCTGAACTGAACTGTTCGTATTTTTTCGATAGGTAAAATAGCGTATGAATCAGTTTATAAAACTTTGAAGTGTCTACTGAAAGTTTGACATTATCTTTATAGCAATGTTCAGTCTTTGTATTTTTTTCCTATTTGAAATAGCATTTGGAAACCTTTTAAATTTCAGAAATATTTTAATTCAGAAACATACAGGCATTAATAGAAATATTGTTAATATACTCAGTCAAAATACCAACAGGAAATAATTATTATCAGGACTTTCAAATATTTAACTAAATTTTTTGATTAATTAAATTTATGACAGTGATTACTGCGTAATCAATTGTGACACAATCAACTAATTAAGTATAACTTCACAACGACACACTTGCAGATAATATATACTTTAGCAAAGACACATTTTACAATAGCATGCCATGAAGGGCTTTATGATTTAGTAAAATGAAAGATGGAAGTGAGAACAAAAGATCGATTAATTATTACTTAATCATTCGCTTCTTTTCTCTTCCGATTAAAAAACGATTTACTAAAGAAACTGTATATAATGAAATTTTAGAAAATGAGGGGGAATTTTTCTATCAATTATTTACTTAAACGATATCGTTATTACTTTTGAATTTAATTTATCTTTGAAAGATCACCAAAATCACGGTAACCTGTAAGTGGGAAATTTGATCAGGACCAGTTATTATATTTATTATTTTTGAATTTAATTTATCTTTGGAAGATCTTCACCAAAATCGCGGTAATCTGTGAATGGGAAATTTGATCAGGACTAACCATTTATTTGATTATTTCTTGCTAATTTCTCAATTTTCGTTTTCAAAAATTCATATTTCCTCATGAATTCACGACTCACGTTTCTTCGAGGAATATCAGTATCCATCTTTATGCAAGAAAAAGAAAAGAACAAAGGAAACTTTTTTGCAAAGATAAAGCAATTAGAAATCTTTGATAACAACAATTTGGATTACAAAGGAATGAACTTTACAGTAAGGAAACAAATAGGAACAATTAAAAAAGATGGAAGAAATTAGGCTACAACAAATATAAACACTTCGAAACTTTATAATTCTCTAACATAGTTTCCTGGAAAAAGACCCGTTCGATTCTGCATTCTGCCTTGCCACCAACCAGAAGAATCTGAAAATTAACAATAGGCATCTGAACACAAATTGCCTTTGCTTTAACAAATGCAAATCTGATCAAAAATTTGAACAAAAACTCGAAATTTTTTAATTTAAATACTTGAAGTGAAAAAGGAGGAACTAAGTGTTGATATTTCGTTGATTGCCTTTCACAGATTGATTAAAATTTCAGCAAGCATTATTTAAGCTAATAAAATATCTGTGATTGAAATATCAATCCTAATTTTTCCTATTTTAATATGTTTCGTTGTCCTTTTAATACTGAAAAGTTGCAAATGACACCAAGTGGTGCGGGGAATTAATTCAAGCTTTTCTAAATTGAAGTGTATTTCTAAACAATTGGAGTATTGTTGTTTCTATAATCAAAATCAACGGATAATAGTCGCATATTCAAATCAATTCATTTTGATGTGAAAACTGACCTTTATTTACAAGTTCAAATTTATCCCCAGCAATAAATGACAGTTCATCGGTATCCTGCGCTTCGTACGGGTACAAAGCTTCAACGAGAGGAAGTGGTTTCGGCTTCAATGGTGGCTTAGGTTTTTCAGGATGTCGTATAGCATTCTGCAAATTATTCTCCAATATAAACCAATAATTTGTTGCTACAAGGTTTTTATTTTTAATCTTGCAAAAAGTACAATAATTAAAACAATTATAATTTACCTGTACACGAGTAATTCCACTATTTCTGTTAATATTGGTATTATTGTTGTTTATTATTGGATATACGCGATTTGAAGTATTTACACGTTGTTGTGACGGAGGTGTTTGATACGTTACAGGCGGCATTTTACGTCGTTCGTAATGTTGCTTTATTGCTATCCTTTTATCATTCGGTCCTGAAAAAGAAGCTTATTTCATGAGCTTCATTTATCCTATTTTTCGCTAAAGTATAATTTATAAATTTTAACAAGTTCAACAAATTTTTAATAAACTAATTAGTTCTGAACAAACAGGAAATAGATGGCTTTCAGTATTATAAAAATTTTACAGCTTAATTAGCAGAAATATCGATAATTCTTGTGGATTAAAATTGCAAACATGAGATTATCATATCCCATATATTATTGTTCTATCATCATCCAGCAAGATCTATTTATAGGAAAAATGAATGATCACGAGATTTCACTTTTAAAGATTTAAAGTAACATATTAAATTTCAGCCATTCTGAAAACAGTAGCAACAGCAAAGAGAAGCAAAAAGCATACTTGTACTACTGGATAATCCAGGTCCAATACAAACGAATAAAATTTTTCCTTTTGGAAACAATTGTGTGCTGTCTGATTCATCATCGTTTCTCGAAAATTTAACAGTCCGGAAACCACAACCAAATCGAGTCTTCTTCAGGATAATTTGATGACAAGTATTGAAATCGAAAGATAAAATTTGTCCACCTCCCACATCATTATACCGTTTGCTACAATAGAAATGATTATATCTATTATTGATAGTGGACAACTTGTTTTACACTAAAATTTAAATTATATAATAATACTCTTAATGATTGATTAAATTCATAAAATTTACTTAATAGCATTTATGAGTTCTGTTTTCAACGGTGTCTCCAGAAGTGATGTATAAGAATCACGAACATTTAGAATGATAAAATTATCCTGATATGGACTTAATCCGATATTAACTATATCATTGTAACCAATTTGCCGTTTCAAAATCTGAAAAAGAGTAGCAACAATAGTAAGAAATAAATGATAGATTGAATAATAATTAAGAATCGAACTAATAAAAATATCACGCGAAGAATGAATAATAACACAATTTACCTCAATAATTTTCCCTTTATTTGGTCCTTTCTTTTCTATTTTTCTCCCAATAAGGACGATCTTATTCGTCGTTACAAGAAAGTCAAGTTTTGAAATCTGAAAAAGGAAATGATCATATGAAAGATATTTGAAAAAAGATCAATTAAAGATTACCACACAACGATTAATTTCTCGAGAAGTTGAAATTGCTGATGAACTACTGATAGTTTATAATTCAGACCAAAATATCAAAAAAAAAACTAGTCCAACAGTCTAATATCTTTTAATTGTCATTTTTTACAAAACGGAATTTCGATTAAAATTAAGCAAACTTGGAATGTTTTCATAAAATTTGATAAATTGTTGTTTGCAATTAGTATCAAACTTCACTTTCTTTACATCATTTAGTGATTAAAAAAACAAGCAGCAAATTAAATTCCAATATCAAATGAAAATTAAATAACACATAACCAACCTTAAACCATCGATCATATTTATTAACTGTAGCAGCGAAAACAATGCGCTCTTTTCTACCAGCCAATGCTTGTAAAGCGGGATGATATTCGAGACCAATGTAATCACCAACAAAATTACGATTTATTGAAAATCGTCTCCTTTCTTTTTTATTCAGCAATAAGTTACATGCATCTTCCTACAATAAATAAAATGCTATAATGATAGTAAAAGGAAGGAGACGAAGCAGACAATATCACATATCGGATCCTCTTTTAACTGACAATGAAATGCTTGAGATTGAAATTTGAAAAATTATGCTTCAGATGTTATTTCATAATTAATTCTAAAGCTAAAATTCTATTCTCAGTGTATGATTTTTTTATTGATCACATTAGCATTGTTAAATGTTTAAATCTGAAATTTTAAATATTGGAGAAAAAACACTTTTGATACATTATTTTTATTAATCATATTGATAGCAAAATTTTCATAGTATTATAACAATCAATGAAAAATAACATTACAGAAATATATTACTGTTATTTTGGCTAAATTTTTTTGCATCAGTAACTGAAATATAAAGATTCAAATTTCAATTTTAAGACGTTACAATATTATCCTATATGTTAATTAATCATGTATTAGATCAAAAACTATAAAATCCTAATAAAGACTTCCTTTAATTTATTGATAGCTTTAGAGCTAAATTATTTCATTTATTGCTATATTTTCATCAAACAAATTGCTAAGCGAAAACTTACTTACTTTTAATTTGGCATATCGTTTTTGAGCGGTGAATTTTTTAAATGCTTTTTGAATTACACGAGCGTAACTATCATACTTCCTTTCACGCATTTCTTCCAAAAGGAAAAGCTGTAATAATATATAGATAAGAAGTATGAATTATAAAATTATAATGCAAATAATGCAGGAAAAATTTTAAAGAAATATGTATGAAGTCAATAATAAATTAAATTAACAATACTTGCATACATAATATAAATAAATAATTATATCGTTAAAAAAACAAACAACGAACCGATTCCGGATTTTTGATGAAAATTTTTGTCTTACCCATTTGATATTGATCACGATCCATATTTACTGTTTGACAAATGATCTAAAATAAATTTTTGAACCGCTAATCATTGGTATAAGAAAAAAATTTTTGACTATTGAAAGAGATAAAATGAAATGATAAAATATCTGTTAATTTATCACTGTAATATGAAAAATCTTCCTTGCATCAGAGGAAAGATATAATTTATAATAGTAAAATTGATCAATAAAAGTTAAAAATTACAAATTACATAGTTGTTTGCTTAAACAAAATCATCTCGTATCATTGACAATAAATTAAATTAAATCAAATTTAATAATTTTAAATTAAAATTGAGATTAAATTAAATTAAAAAATCAAATTAAAGAATTGAAATCTTTCCACATATAATGATCTGTGATGATAATTATTTTGAAATATAGATCCGAAGTAAGTTTTCCAAGTTTTTATTGAAATAAAAAAATGAAAATAAATATCCAAATAAGAAGTGCACTTCTCATTAAGCAATAAATAAAATATAAATTCAAACCTTAATTCCTTCCCGATAATCACCATGATAATTGGGCCATGTTTTCGGGCTAAGAATAGCATAGCGATAAAGAAATTTGTCGAAAATTCGACGATAAGCAAAACCCGCACGTCGAACTCGAATATTTTCTTTCAAACCCAAATATTCCACTTGATGTAGTACACTAGAACAAAACAAAAATTGAAAAAACTACTTTATATTCATTCATCCTTAAATAATAAATCATTCTAATCTCCCTGATAATTCTATAAAAAAAGAATAATATTGTGATGAAAATTTCATAAATTTCCGTCGAACTTTCTAATTTGATCTATGAAAATAATTGTATCAGATTATCGTTTTCATCAACGGTTTTTAGAAAAATAAAATGAAATAGAATCACTGACCGTTTCTCATCCCATTCCAATGATCGTTTAGTATCATTTGGCTTAATACAACGTACATAATGAGGAGCACATTTACTAAGCGAATCAACAAGTTTATTTGCTTGATTCTGTAATATTTTTTTCAGTTTGTTGAGGCAAAAAAAAGTGTAACTAATGTTAGAATTGTGATTGATTTAATTTGAAATTAATTTAATCTTTATTAATTTAATTTAATTCAATCCATTTTATCTTGAATGATTGCATATTATATCATACTGATTTCATTCAAGGTTATTATTGCTTTTCTATTTCCTTCTCTTTTTTTATAACATTAATTTCCGAAATTTGAAATTAGAAAGACAAATAAGACGGAAGAGAATAAATGTAAATAATCAAACTAACTCTAATTTTAGATGAAAAACTTGTTGGCTTCTTACCACTAGAAGATACTATTTCCGGAAAAAGTTGCTTGAAAAACTGCCTGTAAGAAAAATTTCATCTGTTTATTTTTCTTTTTATCTCTTTTGTTTTCCCAAACAACAATGCTAAACTTTGAAATGAAGTATCACTAAATTGCTCTTTTCATATTCCATCCAATCAACATTTCCGATAATATCAATGATAATTCAAATTAAAATTTAAAACAAAACAAAAAAGCAAAAAAGATCTAACCGATTACTTTGTTGCATCAATGCAATGAGATCTTTATAAAGTGTATCACGATTTTTCTCACAAAATCCATCAACATTGTATGTAACCTGAAAATTTTTTACAATACATTTCAAATTATAAAATAATATGGAAATTTTCTTTAATTTAACATTTATAAATATTTTCGATATAATAGGAAAACCGAAATGGTATGCACACATATATTTGTTGAAGTTTCAAAGTAAACTTAAAATGAAATTATATTCCAATTAAATGGCAGGTAATTTAAATCATTTGAAAATCTCGCTGCACTAAACTGAATTGAAAAGATCAAATGCTATAAGTAAAAACTATTTCATTAAGCTTTTCTTAAAAGTTTTAAAAATCAAAATTGGAATATGACTATGTAATTAAAAAGAAAATGATAAAACAAACAGCTCCAGCGTAATGTTTGATAATGAAACATTGTGCGCCACTTTGATAATGCTCATTTTGTGACATATATTTATTTAATTCAATCAAAAATTGTCTGTCAGCACCGCTATTTTGTGCATGAATCTGTGAGCATGTATCATCCAAAATACACATTATTCCTTAAAATAGCAATACAACAATATGCAATGATATAGTAGTGTATAAGTATACATATATTAAATTTTTTTTAAGAAGAAAAGAAAGTTAATGAATCAGAAATTTACTGGAATAAAATTGAATGAGCATGATTTGTGTTTTTATACTTATGATATTACGGTATCCATTAGCTATTACGTATCCTTCAATACCATTATATTTTAAGAAATGGAAATTTTTATTGTTTTCATATTTGAAAAATATTTTCTGGCAAAATATCGCCAGTTTTTCGAAGAATGAAACTGTAACTTTTTTTTTAAAATATAATTAGCAAAAATACCTGGTGGTTTTCGAGCCTCAAATAAATCACAAACAATTTTATTATTGAAATATTCAATTGGTGTCCATTTAATCCCTTCGCTAACATATTCCTCTTGCTCCGCTTTTAATGTTAATTCGATAAATATTTGTTGCAATTTTTCATTTACAAAATTTATGCTAAAAAATTTATATAAAAAATTATATAAAAAAGATTAACACATAGAATGTATAAGAAATTAAATATGAGGAAAATGAATTCCTTATTATTTCACTAATATTCACTATTATATTGTCAGATTTAATAAATTAATCTGATCGTTCCAGTAACTGCGAAATATTTACGCAACTTTATATTTACAACGGTGAAAATGATTGATCGATTTGAATGTTAAGATATCATTTGTTTATCATTCATTTATACTGTCAGTAACACTTTTCTATCTCTCTGAGTATAAATAAGTGATAAATGGAAAACTGTGATATAAACAGAAATATTTAGATAAAGGAAAAATACAATCAGATGCTGAAATTTACAGAATTGAAGAAAATTCAAGAACTTCAAAACCAACACAAATTATCATTACTACCTTGATAATTGAGCTTACCGAAAACTAAAACATTAGAATTCATCCAATTAGTCAATGCAGCGAACATTTATCTCACTTCCTTTCATCTTAGATGATATATACAAGAAGACACGGTAGCTGAACATTGTAATATTCATAACTTTTTCGCCCAAACTATTTATATCATAGAGTATTAGACCTACCAAAATTGTTCGAAACCGTTATTATCGAATATTTCGAACCCGTAAATATCAAGGATACCGATAGATAATGGTATTCCGGATGATCGTGAAGTGATTTTCATTCCTTGATTAACTGATGCAACTGCAATAACAATGATCAAAAAATATAATATAAAATTTTTGCCCTTTCTTAAAATTTTTTAAAAGTTATATTAAAATACTTTTTATTATTATTTCTATAAGGATTTATCTGAGGAAAATTTCTTACTTAAATATTCAAACAAACGAGTGTAAAGATCTTTCGACCATGCATCACGTGTAAATTCCGCTTGTTCAACGTTTAATGTTACATTAATTTGCTCTGCTTGTTTACCCCATTTACTTTCCATCTGACGACTTGTTAATTTTTCGCGTATTGCAGACGATTTCAACCCAAGCAAATAAGCGGGGAATTCTAGAACTGAAATATTATTATTACTATTAACTGATTAAAGAATTTATAACCGAAATTTCGAAGTATTAAAATATGAGATAATTTTAATAATGTATTCATTTATTTGCCGACTTGTTAACTTATTACAAGAACTGCAGTTCTGCAGTGGTAGTAAACCAATGACAATAACATACATTTATTATTTAAAACCTCTCAGGATATCAATCAATGGTTAATGCAATATTTGATAATATGATATTTGATAATATGTTTGATGAAAAATATTGTTCAATATGTATCATTCAAACAAAACAAAATATTATCATAATTTAAGCGTCAAAAAAATTTTAAAGCTGAATCTATCCTATCAGGATATCAATCAAAGAAAAAAGGAATAACTATATTTTGCAAACATTTATAAAATAAAGCTTACAGTGTTTATCGACGATATCTGCAAAATTATTACTTTCAACAAATGTGATATTACCAATGTGCATAATAGCAGCAACAAGTTGCAGAATTTCCATTTGTTTTATCGTATCAATACCAATAACATCCATTGCATGCTAAGAAAATAAAGAGAAATTTCAAATAGATCAATAACAAATATGTCATTTAATAACATATACAAATATAATAAAATTTAAAACGAAAATATAATTTAAAGTATAAATTTTCTCTTAGTAAATGTAAATTTCTTAGTAAATGAAATGTTTATTTTATAAGTAAATCATACTTAAGAATTAAAAATACATATTTAAATCGTTGAATTGAATGATACTTAAGTAATATCGGAGGAAAGATTACTTTAGTGTACTGCTATTCGTTTAGTAAGTAAAGAAATAAATCATTAAATATATATAAGTAGCAAATGAATGAATGAAATTTATATTAAATTTCTTGCTTACTTTAAAAAGTTCCATTTCTTTTACAATAATTTTTATCATACATTACACAACAATACATTTTAGTATTGTTAAGTTTTCATTTCTTATATTTCCATCACTTACGAGAATTTGTTTAAATTCTTTAGCATCATCGATTCCATCAATTGCATAACAACCACTATGATTCAAATAATTGTAATAATCCAATGTAGTGATACCAAGATTAGCTTAAAAAGAATAATTCTCAAAAATCGATTAAGATATATGTCGTATGCGGTTTTTTTCTTTATAGCCCTACTAGTGATAAACTATTAAAATTAATATTTTATTCGATTCTTATAAATAAGGCTTATTATAACTTATTATATTTCTTGCTAAAGGCAAAATGATCAAATATCATTTATAAAGATAATAATTTGAAATAAAAATAACTACCTTTCAAATTTTCGTCTGCTCCGGCGCATAATTGGTAAAATATATGAAAATTACGCTCTCCCTGACTCTGATGTACTACTCGAGATTTCTCGAGTAGAAAATTGGATACCTATAAGTTATATTATCAAAATTATAGCTAGAAGAATACTACACGAGATAACCAGACACGGATAAATTTGATGATGATAGATAAGTTGGATTGCTTGGAGTATATGTTTTTAAGAGTATTGCGATGAACATATGAGAAATCGCGGTAGTTCTAATTATATGTTTTACAAATAAACAATAGAACAAATGAACAATACAGAAAGATTTACCTTCCCACCAATTGGTTCACCTCCTCGGCTGAACATAATTTCAACATATTTACCAAAACGACTGGAATTCCAATTTCTAACAGTTGCACTATTACCAAACGATTCTAACAATGGATTTGATTGCAAAATGACATCTTTTACATGCTGAAATTTTCGCAAAATTTACAATTGTCAAACTAAAAATACAAAAATGGCCTATTCTTGCCTTTTACAAATCAGACAAAGTTTTTATTGCTTTATTAAATAAATCCAGAAAATATCCGATTGCTTTATTTTATTACTTATGAAAAAATGATTTCTTAATTTAATTTTTTTCATTCTATTTTCTAAATTTAGAAATTTACGAGACACTTTTTATAAATTCATAACAAGATTTATTTTTGTGCTTTCCAAATTTGATAATACTAATTTTTGTTTTTCTCTTTTTTAAATAGAGTATAGCAAATACTTTTTATTTATGCTACCACAATCTTACAATAACAGACACAAAAATAATAAACTCATCAATGAAAAAGAAAAATTACAAGACGAAAAGCAATATAAGTCAGAACAAATAAGATTAATATTAGTAAGACTAAATACTTAATATTCTAAAATTACCTTAAAAAAAATTGAAATTACAAAAAAAGTTAAAATTTCAAAACCTGAAGTCGTTGTCCACCGCCAGATATTCGAGCAATATATCCCATAATATATTTAGCTTCAACTGTTTTACCAGCACCACTTTCACCGCTTATTATAACACATTGGCTTTCGTTGTCTATTATCATATTCATGAAATATGATAATGAAATTTCAACATTGTCAATAATTATTTCATTTTACAAATAATATTATATGTAATCGTATGCGATAATTATAATAAGAAATTAGTAATATGTTATAGCAACTATTGTACGTAATGATTGTTGCTAGTCGATTAAAAAATATGTCATTAAGTTTCAAACCTATAATAAACTTCTTCAGTTTGCAACGATGAAAGTAATGTTGAATAAAAATATAAAAATTGGGAAAAATCAGAAATTTAATTTAAAAGTAAGATAAAAAATTTATCTTATAACTATAAAATATACTAAAATAAAAGAAAATTGGAGAAATTTTTTAATCTTATAATTCAATTGTTCAAAAACTAACAAATTTAAATTGAAAATTAAAATTTTTACCTAAACATATTATCAGCAAGAGCATAAATATGCGGTGGATTCTCATATTGTGCTGCTCCCTGATATAATTCCATTTCCTTCTCCGTGAAGTATAGCATATCTTTGAATGGATTAACTGCTATAAGTACCGGTCCAATGTATGTCTGAAATTTAAAAGAAAGCTGCAAAAAATGAATAAACACTATCACAATGCATTAACTTGTATTTAAACTTTAAGATAATTCAGTTCAAATCATGATAAATTTCAAATATTGCAAAAATTAATATAACATTTCAAAAGAATTAAACAATATTTTTTAGAATATAAACTGATATAAATTAAGAATTAACATTAACTAACATAAATTAAGGCAACATTACTTCAACTATAGCTATAATAAGTATATGATAATTAATTTATAATAAAAGATTGTAAACAAACATAATCATTACTATTACTATATTGTATTACTTACAAAAATAGAATTAGCCATGAAACGTTTTCGTAGATTATCCACGATTGCTTGATCATTAAGTTTACTGAGTAATACCATATCATCCACGCCAACATGCTGAATGTTTACTTTTGATTGCCAATGAAATGCCTAAAAATTAAAAAACTATTTTTAATAGGAATATAAATTTAACGAATATTGTAATATATGTTTGAAATTTTTCATTCAATGCGGTAATCACATTTCACCTTACACGCTTGTAAAGGATAGTATCACATTTAATATCACACATAAACATTAACTGATAACGATTTATTAGTCATTGAATGCTTGCAATCTTTAATGAATTCTCAGCTTCGCATTAATTAATAATAATAAATAATAGCAATAACAATAATCATAATTAGTAATAACATAATAATAAGACTTACTTAAAAATTTTTTAAATTTCATTTTTTTCCAATTTTTTTTCATTAATCATTTTCAAGTTCAAAGAAATATTTGTGAATTTTGTTGCGAATTTGAAAATGATTAGTGAAAATATATATAAGCAAACTTCAGAACAAAAACGATAGGATTTGTCATCTATCGTTATCGTTTAATTTAAATCGATTGATCAAAATGTTTGAATAATTCAAATGCCTTTCTACATGTGTTTATACTTTGCTAATCTCTAATTTCATCGGATAAAAAAAATTCTTAACCACGTATGATTTATTTTCTAAAAATTATTTGAAATTTTGAAATTGAAATTTTGAAAATTACTCAAACGAAGACATTAATCATAAATAAATACCGCTTTTTATTTAAATTTCTATTTAAATTATTTTAATTCATTTATTAAAATAATACGAATAATTCCTTTAGTTTTTTTTCTTTCAAAAATTTGCATCACATATTTAATTTAATTACCATAAACTAAAATGAAATCGCACTTACAACCGATAAAAAAGATTTCGGAAATTAATATTTAAAAAAAAAACAAATTATCGATTTTCAATAGCAATAGTTAGAAGTATTTGATAAGTAGAAGTATTATAAGTTATAATAATGTAATACATATACATATTTCGGAATGTATTACATTGCTTGAGAAAGATAGTGCAAAATCAATAAATTCATTCGCAATTTTAATTTTTGTGAAAAATTAAAATTAGCTTTCTAATTATACTATAAAACTTGGAAGCCTCCATTGATACCAAAATTATAATTGGATTTTCTTGCCTGAAAAAAAAACAATCAGAGAAAGTGAAAAGTTTAAGTTGGAAAATATTTGAAAATTCCGAAAATTTAAACTCACCATTATTACCGTATCGTCTGTCGATCAAAGTTTACTCCATTAATTTAGACGTAAAGTTGCTGAAATGAAAGAAGAAAAGTGCAATAATGAAATTTTGGAATTTTTCTACGACGAAAATATAGCAACCCCAATGGTAGGTATACTATCAGAAAACAACATCCGGAAAACGAGAGCAATAGAAATAATGACTAGCGCACTGTTTCTTCCCATAATTGCTTGACTATATACATTGCTATCAATAAAACAGGTTTATAAAAATAATTTAGAGGACGGTTACTGTCAAGTATTTCATTATCAGAAACTGCAGATGATTCTGAACGTATTGCTGCGGCTAATTAAACACAATGGTCTCTGCTATAAAGCTTTCGGCTTAATTTGCATACCGCAAAGAAATTAAGATTGAAACTGGTGTTAAGTAGATAGTGTAGTACAATTAATTCACGGAAAAAATCCATAAAAGATATGACCTTTTGACCCTGTATTTGTAGAGAAATAAATAACATCCGTTCTGTTCATGTTTTTCTAGCTGCACCCTTTCAGTGCCACCAGCCTGTTTTCCTACTGATGTGAACAATTAAGAGGAAGATGAAGAGGGCCAACGATGACCTCAATCGATGATGACAATGACATATGAAGTTTCATAATGACACTGTGTCAGCAAAGTTAATTGAACTTATTCACGGTATATGTAATTCTGCCATATTTCAATCGATTCTAATAAAATTTTAATTTGTTTCGCATCTTTTTAAAATTTTCTAAAATTTAAAAATTAACAACGAACAAATGTTTTCAAGTGCATAATTGCAAACCATTAAAAAATATGCAAAAGGAAATCATTACATCCAGATCAGCGGCGAAGGTCAAATCAAAGTATCCGATCACAATAATTACAGATCGGATATGGGATTAGTGTAAGGAAAAAAATGTATGTAAGAGAATGATTAATCATTTTGTGATAGCGCAATCAATCTGACACGAGATTAAAGGTTATTTGAATAATCCATTTCAAAGTTATTAGTGGTGGATATCTTATTGATAAAAAATCAGAGTATATGATGATCCATTAAAGAAAAAACTTCTCGATAAACTCTCTCACTTAGAGCTCATAAAATTTTAAAATTACACTTTTAAATTCAACTAAATTTGTTGCACTTTTTAAATTTTCAAATATTTAATGTAAATTACATCCTAAATAAATTCAGCACTGAAATATTCTACTGCAATATTTATTCCACCAACAGTGTTTCATGCTGAAATTTCTTCGACTCGTATCATTTTAAGCTATCAATCAATGAGATAAATCGGTATCCCGTGATTTGCCGGTCCATGTATCAGAATGGTATTTTTAGATCAAATAAAAAATAAAGATGATGTAAGGAAAAATGAGGAAAAGAAATATGGAAAAAAGACAATACATCGAATGAATTTTGCCGGTAAATGAATCGAATGGAAAAAAATGACAGCGACAAATTTCATTTCAATTTCAATGAAATTAAAGATTTTCAACGAAGGTGAAGGTGGAGGAAGAAGAAGTGGAAGAGCAAGTGGATGATCTATTATTTCCGATGATTTCTACTCATTTATGAATGATAATAATGATTATATTCCATTGATAATAAAATAGCAATAAAAACATTGTATGTGTTATCATATTGATGCTATTCAAACATTTTCCAAAACTGATCAATCAAATAGTCATTAACTGTTTTTGTTATGTTTGCTGTAGTTGCACGCATGATATACATACGCTTGATAGAAGTTCTATGTTGAAAAAAATCATGACGCTTCACGTTGAATACGTTTGTTGAGAGATAATATATTGGATTATTTCAATTATTCAATTATTTCTAGTAAAATTGCTTCGTTTAATCCTTATCCAATGACCGAACTAAGCTATACCAATGATCGGTTCCATTTCAGAAATTGCCAATTAAAATTTTAATTATATCATCATCGATGATTCACCTTCATATATTAAGAGAATTTAAATGGATGACATCGTGAAAGAAACAAAATATTACATAAGAAAGATAAAAAACTTGACTGTTTTATGATGAAAAAATCAAAATTCAAATTGAGGCTTAATGAAAGTTTGAAATTTGATTTGAAAAATTCCAAAATCTTCAGAAATAAAAAAAGAATGAAATGATACGACTGGCAATAACTAACAGTGGCAGTGAGTCGCGATGATAGTGGTGGTGGTGGGCGTCGTCGCTGTGATCGTCTTTCGTCGTTTGAAAGGGCTAAAAGTCAGCTCAAAGCATGGATGACTCATCACAAAAGCGTCTCCGTTTAAATAAATATCAGCGATGATTAATGGATGGAATTGTAGCAATAATTTCTGATTTAACCACAAAAATTATCGATTAATTGTTTAATTAACTGATTGATTAAAGCTATGAATAAGAAAAGAACTCAAAATCAATTCCATTTTGTACGAATTACTGTGATTTTTAGGTCTTTTGGTAATTCAATTAAATTAATAATAATTTAATTCAATTGATAGATTTCAAATGTGAAAAAAGAAAAAGATCGGAGACAGTGAAGAGTAAAAAAAGAAATGATATATTGATTGTGGAAAATTGCCGTTGAAAATTTTTAAATTTCCTAATCTTCGAATGATACCTAAAACGATGTCCTTTCAAGATTCTAGCAGTATGATAACCAAAACTGTATCCACAATGAAATATTAAATACGGATGCTGATATATGTGTATATGCTATTTCAAAAAAAATTTTGTTCTAAATTTGTAAATTGTTGAGAAATAAACAAACAAACAAACAAAAACATCTCTACATTCGTTATCCAAATCATTATCCAACCGGTTTTTGTGTAAAGAAAAAAGACAATTGTCCAATCAGTTTTTAAGAAAACAAACCAGTCAACCAACCGGTTTTTTTTGAACAGGAAATGATTATTCAACCGGTTTTTCAACAACAAAAAAGTAACTACTTGTAATTTGTATTAACATCGAATATAAATTGTTTTTCTTTTTAAAAATTCATTTTATTACTGTTATTTGCAAAATTATAATTGTTTACACGGCGATTATTATTTACCAAAATTGGAAAATTAATTTGGAAAATTTGAAATGCTAAAATTGCACTTGAGATTTATAAATAAATAAACATTATTATAATCAATCGTCTTGAATGATACATATCAAATTAGCTTTTGTCAATATTAAAAAGAAATCCATTATATATATATATATGTACACAATGAATGATGTTAGATAAAGTGACAATTTTGAAAATTGAACTAAATTATCATAAATGTATTAGTAAAGTAAGAAACAAAGAAAGATTGAGAGGTAGAAAGACAGAGAGAGAAGGGGAGAAAGAGAGAGAGAGAAGGGGAAAAAGAGAGAGAGAGAGAGAGGAAGGAATAATGACAACCGAAAAACAACAAAATCAAAAATTGCGCGATCTGATTGCTTATGAAATGGATTTTATATATTAACTGATTGATTGATTGGTTGGGTGACAATTTGACAAACATTGTTTATAGCATGTACATGAAAAAGTGAAATAAACGTAATTATAAGAATAATTTCCAAATAATTTTATGTTTATAAAATTATCATTTTTTTGCTGCTTACCTATTATAACTAACTCTAAGGTGTAAACTAATTGATTTTACCTATAACTTAAAGATGTAAACAACTTAATTTTATTTACAATTTAAAGATATAATCAACCTAATCGATTAATTATTAATTATAGTTATAGTTACCTATAACTTGAAAATATAAACTAATACACTTATTTTTTGCATGGATCAAAAATTAAAACTTGAAATTGCATATGAAATATCTGAAGAATCGAAAAAAAACATATCGATTAATTATTAATTACTAATTACATATAAAATTAGTTTTGGGAGATTGTTCTAAATGAGTGGAAAAAGAGGGAAAAGAAAAAATAAATCCTAAAAATAATTTGATAAGTGATATGATAACAGTAAGTAAGAAAGGAATTGAAGTGGAAGGGAAAAAATTAATAAAGTAAATAAACTAAAATCATTCAGTGGAAAATCAATAATTACTTGTTGGAAAATAAATTCAAGAATATTCTTACTTTGTTATAAATTATTCGTACCAAAAATAGCAATCGATCCTTCCTTATAAATATTAGATAGATGAATATTCTGTTCTATTTAATGTACAACTTAATTATATCTGCCAGTAATTGTATTCATCGATACCGGTAATGGATAATTATTATTCTGGTTACTCTTCTGCCGAAATTATTCTTCATCGAGATGACAACCCACTTAAATGTCAACAAACAAAAAGACATTTTATTTTTAATTTAATTTAAATGAACTATCTGAGAAACATATTAGCATTTATTAATTATTAATGGTTATTTATCGTATCTAAGAGATTGGAATTTTCTACGTAATTTTACTTAAAATTTCTACAATCATTAAGATTAAGCTTTTTAGGTGACAGCCATAAATGACAGTTATTTTGCAATAATTTTAAGAAATGGTAAAAAAGTAACAAAGAATAATATATATTTTTATAAATTGTTAAAGATAATAAATTTAAATCTTTTTGCTATGAACCAAATCGATTGCACCTACAAACTAATCAAACGATGCCTTAAACTATTAGAACCTGACGCTTAGCATCAAATTCATTAGAAACCATTAATTAGCTTAATGAGCTAAATTTTTTTGCCTTATGTTAAATGAGTTAGCAGTTGTATCTTCTCCATTTACTTCAACTTTTTGGCATAATAATTAGCCAAATTTAAAAGTTAATTAAATAAAGTTAAATAATAGCCTATTGGTTAGTTTGTAAATGCAATCGATTTGGTTTAATTTTACATGTTTAAAATTTATTGCAAACAATAAATATTAAATTAATTAATATTTGCGGTCGATAATGACACAGTGAATTCAACTAAACGTAAGTTAATCTAACATGAAAGTAAATAAGACGAACTATTATAGTCATTGTCTTATGCTACCTAATTTAGTTGAATATTTGCACAATTTCAATTTCATTATACATTGAATTATAATCTCTTCATGGAATTAAATGATGAAGGTAATTAATCATTATGCGCCATTTCAATATTGTAATGGTAAATAGTACAACGCATGATAGCAATAATAGTGATAATGATAATGATACAATGATAATGAAAAATTGTATTACTGCAAAACAGATTGCCACAATATTATTATTATTATTATTATTAATACCATAAAACTTTTGTAATTAAAAGAACTTAACAATGAATAAAGTTAAGAAAAATTAATTGAAACCAATCAATATTTAAACGAAGAAAGCACACACATGCCTGAGTAGCGCAGTAGGTTAGCGCGTCAGTCTCATAATCTGAAGGTCGTGAGTTCGAACCTCACCTCGGGCATTCCCGTTTGCAAAAATTTATGATAACTGAACAGATACGAACAGGATATTTAAAAGAAAACGAAAACTCTAAATTACATTTTAAATTTGTAATTATAATAATTCTGCAAAAACTGCTGACAAAAACTTAAAATTGTTTATAAAATTATAAAAAATGAAGATAAAATGAGGTAATCTTACTTTAATATGAAATGATTTGATATTGGCAACAAACAACAAAATAGAATCGATTTATGCTAACAATTATATATTGCTGTATGTATATTATCATATATTCGATTATATATTACCGTATAAACTATACAAACTATACAAAATTAATTCATAGGAGCAAAAAAAATCGAATGAAAAAACGAAGTACCATCGAAGGCTTAGTTTAGAGACTACAAATGATGGGATATTGACAAAAACCCGAATGACATATCAAGTATGGAGTACCATTGAAGACCTGAATGACTACAAAACATATTTTAAAGAGTTATTAAAAAAATTTTTATTAATTTAGCAACAATATGGATATACATTATGGAAAACAAAGGAAGTAAGTAAAATAGAATTGAAAAAGGAAAAAAATGAAAATGGAAATTAAAATTTCAAAAAATAGCCTAGTACTGAAAATATTCACATTTTATAAAAATGTTAACTTTTCAATTCATTCGATAGCGATATTGTCAAATTTGATTTTTAAGGTCATCTGAGTAGTGCAATTTGATTGGCTCAACAATCTTATAGTTTGAGGATCATGAGTTCGAACTTCATTTCGGGCAACGTCCGCCTCGATATTGAAAAATGTTGACTCTTAGTAATAAAGAACCAGTTCAACTTTAATTTAAATAAAAATGTAGGAAGAGCTATCAAATGATTTTATATCAGTTTAATTTCTTCCTATTTATTATTGTATGATAATTTGAGCAAGCATTAACAAATCTTAACATATGAATTGTTTATTTGTTAAAGTTTAAAAATTAAAAAACATAAGATAAAAAGATGAGAAATAGAGATATAAGACGAGATTAGATACGAAATATCTAATAATGAGAAATATACAAAAAAGATAAGAAATATGTAAGATTCGACGTAAGTGGAAAAATAAAGCGTACGTAAGATTCGACGTAACTGAAAAAATGAGGCGTACGTAAGGAGAGAATACTGAATGACTGACATGTTGAATGATAGTTTAGTTCATTACGCTTATCCATTGCCAATTTATACTGTATTAACGCATAGTTCTTTTTTTTTGCCTCTTTCTTTCCCTCTCTCTTTCCTCCTTAGTCCTTCTTCGTAATTCTCATCCCATAGTAAATACTCAAGTTAATTATCATCAGTATATCGATTACACTTACGTTAATCAATTATCATTAATGTATCGATCACACGTACTTTAACCTAGTCTAAAATTTGTCCTACAATTCATTGATATATATCTATAATATAATTTATATATCCTATAACCGGATTTACTACTTAACACATCCTTTCATCTACATATAGTAAATTCATTACAATATATTTTTTGACTTCAGTGAATTCAATAACATATCATATATATACATGCTAATAAACATATGCGGAAGTTTGATAAGAATACCGTCAAATCTTTTAGAGCTTTTTTTCTTTCTAGTTTTGTAGCAATAATATTTTACTGGAATATTTAATATGATAATTGATTAATTGACGGTGATATTTGATTTGTTAATGAGTGGTAATATTTAGTATCACTCTTCCCTCAGTTCGCTCTACTGTAATTTAATATCACTGTATTCAATATAATTTCTATTTTCATTTTTATTTCTTTCCCTTTTTTGTGATAATTTAATAAAAATCCTTTTTATATTTTATACTTATTCGAAATATCAATTATTTAATAATAATGGATAAAAAAGAATTTAATATTAATAATATAAATTTCATACTCATTTCAGATATTCTTAATTATCTGCCAACATGAAGAAATGTGCAGTTGAAACAGTCGAATTGTCATATTTCATTGGTGTTTTTATATTCAATAAATTTTGCATCCATTTTATTTCTAAAATTAGCAAATAATTTCATTTGGAAATTTTATTTTTTATTTTAATTTGAATCGTAATTTTATTATTGTACAACAAATAGGTTAATAATTCAAATTTGTATACATAATTTATCAATGTTATCAAGTTATATAAGTATAGTAACAAAAATTAAGGTATAATTTTAATTGGAAAAGTTTTATAAATAGTAAAAATTCAGAAGACAAAATTAGTAATGCATTAATTACAAATAATATAAGAATGGATTGCAATAATTCATTTATCAGTTACGGTAAAATGCTTTCCAAAAATATCACTTTAAAATTTAATGAAAATGTTGTCAAAGTTTTAGCATTTTTTACTATTTTATTTTAGTATAATTTCTACTTTAATATTTTTACTATTAATATTTACTATATTTTATTACTAATATATTTTTACTGCAAATTTATTTGAATGTTATTGTAATTATTAAAATATAAAGCATAAGAATTTCTACTTAACAATTTCATCTGATTAATTCATTAATCTTATCATTGGATTATATTCTTTTTAATAATTCATGCCTTACTCGTTAAATTCGAGAAGCAAATATTGGTACCATTGGCACCATACTACTACTTTGAACTTAGCTAAGAATGAAGAGCTTTAAATAAACATTTTGAATAAGGTTCATAATGTATTATCTGGGAAATTTTTTAATTTAATTTAAATCTTAATCTAATTAATTTAATTATTAGTTCATTATTTTTTTAAAAATAATTTTGAAAGCATACGGTGAGGATTTTGAGGATCAAATCCCATAACATTTGATGGGCAATAACCCAAATCTTCCTTATTTTGTGCGACAATAAGGACTAATGCAAATAGCAATAGTAGAAAAATAATAAATATCAAAGTTCCGATGGCCAAAATCTTCATTCCATTATCTTTCTGAAATCATTCCTTTCATTTATAAATTATTTTATAAGGCTAAAATCAGTTTCTAAATTTCAGTTTCAATATGCAGATAATTAATGCTATTGGACATTATAAATGGTGATACATTATAGAAGTTTATCTGATATTGAAACAAAAATCCTAACTATCGCTTATGAAGTTGAACTGATGAGCAGATGTGATCATTTAAATATTTTCTTATAAAATCGCTTAATATCACAATTAAACTTCCTATTGTTTCTTTTCAAAAAAAATTATTTCACATATATCTTTATCTCTTTGGTATCAATTTTAATTTAATTAAAATATTTTTCGGTACATTGAAAAATGAAATGTTATCCACCAGATGATAGCGATGATAGAATTCGATGACACGTGGTACTGAAATACGATCAGCACGATCAACTAATGCTAAATTGGAAAAATCTGAATCCAATGGCCATGCATCACTATCAGTTACCTGTAAACATGAAGACCTATTTATTTTTCTGAATTCAAAATCCTAATCATAAACTTTAACAAATTCCTAAAGTCTTTACTGCAATTCTATTAATTATGCTAATACATTGGAACTTTTGCAGTCCTATTATTAGTAAAAATAAATCGAAATGCAACGCAACACTTAATATATGTCTATAATTTTTTACTAATTACAAATTATCACTTAGAAAATTAAAATCGAATTTGATAAAAAGGCTAATAAACTTTATTATGCTTAAATGTAATCATAAAAATATTTTGTGTTATATACAAAAAGAAACAATAGAATACCAATAATTTCAAAATTTGCAAAACATTTGTTGGAATACGATTAGAATCAATGATCCGTCGCCAACTATCGTTTATAAATAAATGTGTCGTTGTTGCATGACCACTTTGTAGGATACCAAATGATAACGTTTTCTTGTTTTCAAACTAAAAAAAATTATACATATATATTTTTTGTAAAATCTTTAATTTCAAATCTTAATTTTAAAATCACTTATGAATTATTTTTTTTTAGTTTTTGCTTTATAAAAATTTAATGAAACATATTGAAAATCATCGAATATTCTAATTAAAACTAATTAATTAAAATTAATTGATTCATTATCCGATCATCCTATCCTATGCAATGTATATTCTCTTTAAATGCTATTTCCCTTCGAAATTATATCATATTATCAGCTAATAAAAAAAACTTTAGCTTTAATCAGTTTTATTGATAGCTATTAGCATAATAAATGTCATTATGGTTTACTTATCGAAACATATTTTTTTAAATTTCAATGAGTAAACAAATATTTAAGTAAAAAAAAAGTTAATGATAAATAAAGAAGAAAGGAAAATTATCCAACTTGAAGACTATCAGTTGATTGTGTTAACAGACGGTTATCATATTTTGATAATGTTTGCTCATAACGTTGTTTGGCATAATACAACACCTCAATATTATATTTGTTATTCTTTCAAAATTTTAAATTCTTTTTATCTGATCATTTATAAAAAGAATGATTAAAAATGATTAGTATTATCATATTATCAAACTATGCTTAATTAATAAATAATTTATTATATCAAACCTTTTGAGGTAATAAATCGTTTATTATCGTTTATTACAATAAATAATTTATTATTATATTTATTATAGTTTATCAAACTTTTTAAGGAAGTATTAAAAAATTATGTTTCAAAAATTAGTTAAACATTGGAAATTTGATAACCCATAATTAACATATCGAATTTAATTCCTGTTCTATTTAAATTTATTTCATTAATGATACTTGTACGTATCAGTAAATATTATCAAAGATACATTTTTGGAAATTCCTTAGACAATTTGAATAATTAATCAATCTATCGATAATTAAAACATTGTGATTGATACAGTAGAATAATTGGTTATCTAATACTATTAGATTTTTATTTATATAAAATAACCTTTTAATTTAATAAATTTTTATTGTTAATTAAAATTTATTGTTAATTAAAATTTTTATATTAAATAAAACTTTCCAAAATTAAAGGAAAAAAATTTATCAATAATCATTTTCATATCATACTTTTAAATCTTTTTTCTCCTCATCAGTTGGATTATCTTTCTTCAATATCGAACTGATATATAATTCGGCATTTTTAAGCCATTTCATATCACCATGTCTATCGAGAACTGTCGAAATGACTTCAGAATCACAAGCAGATATTACACGTGGATCCATTTTATAATTCAACATTGTTGTTGATAGTACTGCTTCAATATCACTGAAAACAGCATGATATTCATCTTTGGAATTCTTTTGAAAATAAAAAAAAAATATTTATCAAATTTTACTACGCATAATAATTACCATAATTATAAGTAATTTCTTTTTCGGTTATATGAATAAAAATTTCTGAATCACAGTAAAACGATAGCACAACATGAAAATTACGCAAGAGCGAAATCAATTCGTCTATTAAGTTCTTTATTGAATCGAATAGCAAATTCTTCATCGCCACGAGCACGTGTATTACGTACGTCTGGTATTGTCGTTTCCGTCAAACGATGATCGTACTCATCATGACGAGATTGCATCTTCCAATCATTTTGCCATGAATTAGGTGACTTAAGCAAAAATTTTTACCATTATTACACCATAATGTTAGAATATTCTTCCACTAATCAATGATTATAGATTAAACTATAAGATATATCAGGATAGTTAATTTGAATATTAACCGTAGTAGCAGTGGACATTTTCGTAATCGTGGAATATCCTGAAACTGATTCGACGCTAGGAGGATAATTACTAAGTGGCCAATGATCCAGAGGAATCTGAAGTAAGATGATAAATTATCTTCAAAATATATATCACAATTAAATAATGGAATAAACTAATAAAAAATTTTAGTATATCACAATTCAGTAATAATGAAAAAACAATTGAAAGAAATAAATATACAAATAGATAAATATATAAATGAAATTCAGCGTGCAAAAACTTTCTAATTTTAAAAGTATATCATTGCATAATATAACAATCAATTTCAGTTCATTCAATATAGCAAATTTATATTTCAATGCTTAAAAGCTTAATAATTATCACTGCCAATTAATTGTTACCTGTCCTTTACTATAAACTTTTGTTTCACCAAAAATTGTTGTAGCCTGTGGTTTGTATGTATATTTAGAAGGCAAAATACGTAAATGGCGCAATTTTCCATCATCTTCTTGCTGGAAAATTATCTATTAAAATAAAGAGCAAAATTAAACTTTGTATTTAAATAAGAGAGCGAAAAAAGTGTTGTTAACAATTTTCGTAATTTTAAGATTAAATTATAACTATAATAATTGCTACTATAATAACTTTCTAATTTTAAAAGTATCTCATTGCATAATATAACAATCGATTTCAGGTTATTCAATAGCAGTAGGACCGGATCGTTGAATACATTTTCAGGAAATGATTGCTCATTTCAATAATTTAATTATAAATAGTTTCCAAACTTGTCTTTGGAAGAATAACAAATATAACTTTACTTCATTAATGTTATGTGAATTTTGCAAAATCATATAAATTAACTATTACAGTATAAGATTAAGAAAAATGATTACGTTCCTTAAATCCAATAACAACTATTAATGGAAATATTATACTTTCAAAAATACATTTCAAAGAGTATTATAATTTTACTAATTTCAAAGAAGTACCAAAATGATTTGAATTTATTAAAAAAATGTTTGCAAAAGAATTAACGAAAAATTGAAGCAAACTTACAACTGCATAATTGATATCATCATAAACAATTTTTAAGCCATTTTTATTGAGCACACGCATAAAATGATAATGAAAACCAACCCAAATTGGATAATCAATTAATTCGTTACATAAATCCGATACAGTAACTCCTTTTAAAGCTATTAACCTATTTTGAAAATTTTTTTAAATTAATTAAATATTTATAATTAGCGATAAAATGTTGAATAATATGCTTTAAATCTTTAACTTTTATCTTATTCTCTTTAATATTATTCCTGTCTTATTATATTTACCATATCAAAATTATTTTAACCAAATATTTATATGGAGCTAATTTCGTGATAAATTTAATTAATTCAAAATTTTAATAAATAATCAAATAATAATGAGAAATGATAGATAACATTTGGATAGAATGAAGAGAAAACAAAAGCTTTTCTCTAAAATAAAAGGGTAAATTTTAATTAAATTAAATTATTGATATTAAATTAGAGTATTATAGTTAGATGAATTGAATACATTATATTTCTTTGTTTCACTAACTTATTAACAATATTTCTCTAAAAAAAAGTTGCATTTTATGTTTATGTTTTATAAAACTTTATATCTTCTAAACTACTCACCTATCATCTAACCTATCATCCTATCATCTATCATCTAGGCCACTAACCTGTCACAAATGAAGAAGAGAAAATTGAATTTAATTTTAGAAAGAGAAAATAAAAACCTTGTAGCTGAAGATCGTTTAAAGGGAACTGTTTTCCGTACTTTATGCTGTAATGAAGCATAATTATTCATTTGTTTCCGAGCATGAACCCATTGTTTGTGATTTGATATGAAAGCCTAAAAATGATTGATAACGAAATTTATCAAAATGATAGATATATGTTAGTTTCAAACATACCATTTCTTCTATATGCTACAAAGTTGGAACACTATTTCAGCTTTTTAAGGAAATATTTAAATTATAAAAAGTTCAATTAAAATATCATAAAATATATACCTTAATTTGTTTTGTAATATTATTTTGCTCCAAATTTTTTTCAATATTTTGAATTCTTTTTTGCTGATAAGCTCGGATATCAGCAATATGACGATTAATTAATACTTTTATCATTGATGGTCCACATTTCTGATAAATATTATCAATGCATTTCTATTTCTCATCAGCTAATTATTGCTCATTATAATCATTACCAAATGCTTAATTAATCTCATTATCTCAATATAATGAGTTTAAAAAAAATTATTCTGAATTATTTCCATAATTTTAAATTTTAAATTTTTACACTGTCAACATAAAAATGAATTATTGCCTATAAATAAGATATATTATTAAATAACCTGTTCTCTTGCATATGATGCTAAAAATGTTGGTAACACTTTACGACCTTTCATTGACCGTAAATTTGGTCGAAATCCACCACCTGTAATATGTTGTAGTTCCAATTTACGATTATATTCACCATGTAGTACCAATACTGTCCTAAAAGAAATTAATTAATTACATAATGCTTTCAAAATTTTGTTAAACATACCAAAATCCAAAAAACATATCAAAATCAAAATCCAAAAGCATATAACTATTAAAATAATGATATTATCATTAATTTAAGGATTTCCTTTCAACATTTTATAAATCTTTATTTTAAAAAAATCGAAATTCAAAAGTTTGAATTTCTCCTTAACTTCACTTTTAATTCAAATCGTTGAAATCATAAATATTATATTATAAACGTTGAAATCATAAATATCATTGAAAGAATAAAAAAATTTACATACGAGATGAAATCGTTAATTTCATAAAAATCACCACGTTTCATGATATCATCCGGAATAACACCCATATAATATACTCGTGCATTAAAACTATCAATTGCATATAACTATTAAAATAATGATATTATCATTAATTTAAGAATTTCTTATCAACATTTTATAAATCATTAATAAAAAATGTACTGAAATATTTTGCAAATTAATTCTTATAAACAAATCATCGACTAGATACCTATGAAAATAGATGCGATACGATTGATTTTTTAGATAAAAAATTAATGTCAAACTTTTATTAATTATTCTTTTAACAGTGATTTGATAATTGCAATTAATTAATTTCTTCAAATAATTTATTAATAAATTTTAGGTAGTTGTATTTCGTTTATTAATGCTAAAATTATTCGAAAATTTGACGATATGCTTATTTAAATTAATTTTTTGTTTTCATATCTCATAAGAAATTAATAAAATGAATTTAATTAAAAATTCTCCTTTAATCATTTGTTATTGTTAATTTTGAATATACCACAAAACAACTTACATCACTGATACGTTGATAACTCTTATAAACAAACCATCGATTAGATACATTATGAAAATAGACGCGATACGGTTCATTTTCCGGATAATAACTGTAATTTTCACCATGCTCTCTTCAATCATACATTGTTAAAAGAAAATTGAATTCTTTAAAATTATATTTTCTGATTTTATCTTTTAAATCAAATTTAACTTTTAATTCTATAGGCAAGAAAATATGTCTTATTAATATAAATTACACTAACTATTCCGCATAGCAATATTGTTCAGGTAGTAATTTTAATCGAAAATATTTCATTTCAGTAATATCTTTCTCTTTCATATCCGTTTGTGAAGCAATCAATTTCGAATACTAAAATTAGAATCATACAAAAAGAAAATTGAAATCATATAAAATTAGATTTAATATCATTTTAGTTATTGAATGAATGCAATAAGATATAATACCTCATATTGTTCCTTCAATATATTTATCGATTTGTTTCGTAAGATAAGTTCCACTTGATGATTACCAACTTTCAACTTCCCTTTTAATCTTGACATTTTTCTAAACTATCAGAGATACTGTGAATTGAACAAATAACATTTTATTTGAATTTATATATATGTTAACAAATTTCAACAAACTTAACATTTCTTCCATTCATTTTTGATAGTACCAATAGGTACTAATAATTCGTTAATTTTTATGTGAAAGTAATGATTCGTAACGAATATTCAGGATATAGTATATTTACTATTTAACAGAAACTATCCGTTTTCGACAGATAATTTTTGATAAAATTTTTCTGATAGCAACAATTTAAGATGAATATTCAGGATATAGCATATTTAATATGAACTATCCATTTTCGACAGATAATTTTTGATAAAATTTTTTTGATAGGGACGATTTGAGATGAATATTCAGGATATAGCATATTTAACAGGAACTATTCCGTTTTCAACGGATAATTTTTGATAAAATTTTTTTGATACATTGATAAATTCTAATATGATAAAGTATTATTGTTGCACGAATAACTTCAATATAATTACATTAAATAATTAAAAGAAATTTAAATGGCTACATAATATAAATATATGATTGATGAAGTAAAACGATAACAAGAAATTCGAACAAACAACTGTTTAATAGCAATGAAAGATGAAAATATGAATTTAAAAAAGTTTCGTAACATTTTCATATGAAAATTAACTTTGATAATCATTAACAGTAAAGTGAAGATATTTTTATGTTTGCAAAATGATTCGCAAATAATTGCAAATTTTATATCGTTTGAATTTACTATTTAACATTTAGCAAATATTTATTATTTTAAGGCTCATTTCATGGAATGTTTCTTAGTCTGTTAATGGCACATTATCAGATATCTTCATTTATACATTTAATTAACACTAATTGAAATGATAATTAAATTCAGAATGTAACGATAACAGCATAAAAATTTATCATTTGAATTACTACAAAAAGGTGTAATAGCTTCAATATAATTTTGGAAAGTTGCTAATTACATCTAAAGTTGCTAATGATAAATTATCGAACGATCATAGAATATTCGATTTTTCGACGATTTCAGCATTAATATTAATCATAGTTAGCATTAATAATCATAGTTTTTATGAGCAAAAAAAAATAAGGCCTCTCATATATGATCAATCAATTATGTGACCAACACATATGACCAATGAAGACCCCTCATAAATGACCAACCAATTATATAACCGACACGTATGACCAATTAAGGCCTCTCACATATAACCAACCAATTGTATGACCGAAACATATGACCAATCAAGGCCTCTCACATATGATCAGCCAATTATATAACCGATACATATGATCAATTAAGGCCTTTCACACATGACCAACCAATTATATGACCGACACATATGACCAATTAAGGCCTTTCACAAATAACCAAATTAGTGTTTCTTCTAAGAATATCTAAAAATTGGAAAGATAAGAAGCCTTTTTGATTTTATTATTCGATAAGCATATGTAATTTGAATAAGCCATCAATAAAAGTATCACTTTTTCATTTTAGTCAAAAATTATAAAGTAAATAAAAGAATGAGAATGTGTACACTTTATTAGAGAAGGCTATGTTGCTGAAATAAATTGAAATAATAAATTAATGGATAATTTATGAGCTAATAAAGAAGAATCAAGTAAATTCATGATTGTGATGTAAGCCTTATTTTACTTGCCACGAAAATTTTCTCAATCAATTTAAGGCATGTGATAAAACCATTTCTCATAATTGTAATTGCATAGTTGTAAAACAATAAAGAATGAAAATACATGATTAGGTTGTTTTGTAATCTGCCACCATTTAAAACTATCAAAAGTTTTCTAATATTATTTTTTATATTATTGTATTTTTCTATATATATAGTTCTAATATATACTTTTCTATCTATTTTATATTTTTACAGAAATATTTTTTCAACATTTTCTATTCGATATATTCTTCGTTAGTATTATAGTGAAAAGTATCAGTTAAAGTTAATACCATACTACTTTGTGAAAAATATCATAATCCAATATTTCATCTATTTCAAGCATTACTCAAATTTAAGTATTTAGATATCGCAAAATTAATTATTAACTAATCTAATGATTTTCACTCATTAAGTTTTATTTCACTTTCAACTTCACGCCAATTGTTTTATATCACTAAAGACAATGTCCGCCATTTCACTTCCGTGGTCATTTTAGGTAGCGAAAGATATCGCAAAATTAATTATTAATTGATCTAATAATTTTCTCTCATTAAGTTTTATTTCACTCTCAACTTCACGCCAACTGTTTTATATCACTAAAGACAATATCCGACATTTCACTTCCGTGGTCATTTTAGCAAAAAGGTTTAAACTGTTTATAGCTGTTTTATAATTTGTGGCAGTTTGATGAATGAGGGAGAGATAGATAGAGAGAGAGAGAGAAAGAGAGAGAGAGAGAGGGAGAGAGAGAGGTTCGTTTGATCTATTTCTATGGAAGAGTGCACAAAAAGACAGAAGAAAGAATGGAGAGACAGACACACATACATTCAAATACCTTTCATATAAGACGGCCATCTTATCCTAGAGGAGATGAAAAAAAAAAACAGAATGAAATTTTTAAAATTTAAATTTTCGTTAGAGTCTTATAGCGAATCAAATAGTACAGTACTGTGTAAAGGCGCTAGAACGGGAAGAGATCAAGGGGTAGCGGGAAATTTAAGATCGGGAGGGTTGGTAGATTGATTGGGTATGTTCCCGATTTGGGAAAACAGAACCAATAGCATAGTTAGTAGTTATATTGAATACTTTCCCAGCCATAAGGGTTAGTTTCCTTCTTTCTTCATTTCACTTACATTACTCACTCATTCCTATTCATGGAAATGTATCATTCATATTTTAATTAGATTAATTATCTGACTTTAGCCGCTTTAATCGGACTATGTTGCTTATTCGATTGTATTTAATTATCGATTTTATCCATTAAATTTGTTCGATTATCAAATGCTAATGGTTGAATTTTGCTAATTTTAACTTTTATGCATCGTTCATAATTCAAAAATTGGACAAAATTCGTGCTCAACAGGTGGCTAAACGATTTTCCGGATAGGAAGAACGTTCATGAGGGAAAACCTGAAATATTGAATACTAAAAATTTTGCTTGAAATAATTCAATTATTGGGAGGGTAAGCTAAAAATTTTTTTCATTAATATTTACCTTTTACTTTCTTTCTTTTGTTAGTATTTACTTTTTACTTATGTAATGTTTTTCGGAAGTTATTGATAATCATCTTACTTTACTCTTACTTCATACTAACATTTGCCAAGATTGTTTCATTAATAATTTTTGAAATTATCCATTGTTATTCAAAGTTACTCTAACTTCTTCTTTTTGATGTATATCTTTATTGAATTTATTTTTTGCCGCCTATTGTTTATTCATTGTTACGCTTTTATGCATTGTAGTGTTTTCTGAAATTCCATTTCTAAATTTCACTACTCCCATTCATCATTTCTTTCTGTCTCTTAGACTAAACTATCGTCCATATCGATCTTCCAATCGATCGATCGTTTCAAACGATGCTTCCATTAACTGAACTGTCTTCGTTTGGTCATTGAAAAGCGCGCTAAGCGATACAATTAATTGCTTCGAATTTTCCAGACGAAAACCATTCCGCGTCCCCAAAAATCTTTTCCAGGTGAATGGCGGGTAAAGTTTGCGAAACTATTGAAAAGAGGGGGAAAAAAGTCCTAGGGGAAAAATGCTACTATGAGGGGATGAGATCTTCGATATATCACTACGTCTAATATATTTCAATCAGGTGGATCATATAATTTATTATTTAAATTGGAAAATTATTTTAAAAAGTATTTTTTAATTTTTTTATTACGAAATCGGATGATCGTAGTATGAAATTATCGTGGTACTACTAGTTATTAAATAAACATTGAAAAATGCAAAAGAATCCGTTATCTTAAAAAGCTTCGACAATTGTTATGCAAATTTTCTTATCCTATTGGTATCATCTAATATTATGCAAAATTTTTGGTTTAAATCGAACAGTATAAAAAAGTTGAATAAATTTTCAACGATAGTGTAAGATTTAGAGAGAAGGCAGAAATTAAAAGAAGGATAAGATCTGAAAATTATGTAAATATTGTTTGTTTGAAATATTCAAATTTGTTAAAAGCATTCAAAATGATGAGTGTGTCATTGAAATTTTGAAGTGTAGACGTGTACGTCTGATGCTATGATTCATTTTGAGATTTTTTAAAAATTTTCTCCAATTTTTTCTTGATCAATTAATTGAGGAAAGGTTAATTTCAAATATTTCAGACTGCGGAGGGTTAACCCTACTGAGTCTCACTACTAACACTGAACTCCAGCTTTCTATTGGATTATTGATCATCGGGTGATTTTCGAGGTAAATTTTTTCGTTGAAAAAAACTAAAATGACTTAATACTTTTCTAGCATTAATCATTCACGACCTATAATTTGCGAAAGTTTCATTTATCATTTCAATGTATTTTATAGTTTCTCGTTTTATTTTAGAAGACAGAGGAAGAGAAGACACCAAACGGTCTCTAATGGAATATGTTAATTCAAAATTAACTTTGTTTCAGAGCATATCGGAATGATTCCGGCTAATTCTAAACGGAATATTAACCCGACTTATAGTGATGTTAAAAACGCGTTGCCGAAGAAAAATAAACGTACCGGATTGGCGGATTTAAGCAATGTACGTTTAATGCTTTCACTGTGAATGACCTTCGCTTCATATCTTAATTTCATATATTCCAGGCTATCAGCACAACCTTACATATTAGTTCAAAGGATGGCGAGAATGTCGAAAAACCCAGACGAGTGCAGCCTGTTGTACGAGCAAAGTCTGAAGAACGGAAGTCCTTCTGGTAAATTTAAATATTTGATATAATTATTAATTGATAGTAATGTATTAATCCTTATCGTTAGTATCGATGTTAATTTCAGAAAATGGCACCGAGATTAGTTGGTAATGGTAGAATTTAAGTGTCTAATCTAACATAAAAACTCTTCAGCATGTTTAAATTATTTCAGTGTCAGTGAGTCAAAGCATGAACCCGACTCGGAATTCCCTAGACGTTTGGATCTGACGGTAAATGTTGAGAAAATTAATATTAATTCTTTCATAAAAATTCTTCGAAATCAGATTGAAATCAGTAACAGCTGACGAGCAGAAATGAAATTCTAACAAATTTAGATTTGGATGGATCCATGTCCGGAATTTGATTATGACTCCACTAATCTTGGTGATCCATTTCAAGTTCCGGAATATGCTATGGATATCTTCAATTACTACCATCACCGAGAAGTAGTTTTTTTGAATGTGCATTTCTGTGTATCGTTTCATAGAGTATTATGGTTCTACAACAGTAATTATATGTTAAGGTTCTGTGTGTAACTGTGTAAATGTGATCTAAACTATTTTTTTCAGCTAAAGTTTCGTCCATTTGATTATCTGTGCAGACATCCGCAACTGAAGAAAATTCGTCGTGCAAAAGTTATTGATTGGTTCGTGCGGTGTCAAGAGGATTTCGAGGTCAATCATGAAGTGCTGTACCATACGGTCAAACTGTTTGATCTCTACATGTGTGCTACCAAAAATATGGAACAGTTTGACTATATTGGAGCAGCTGCAATGATTGTTGCAGCGAAGCTAGATGTACGTTATACAATTGATTTCCCTTTTTAATCTATTAACAGTTTAATGCTTAAATGATATTCTCAAATACTGAACCCAATTTTCGTTTGCTTTTGGTGCTGTATTTTCAGTAGATATAAAATTTATTCCCTTTGATTAATATCCAATTTCAGCAGCAAGGTCCACCTCTTCCGGATGATTTCATAAACCTTCCTCTCAGTCACAGAGTGAAAGTAGTTAATAATTATGAACGGAAGATCTTGGTCGCACTTAATTGTGATGTCAATTTTCCGCTTTCATATCGTTTTTTGCGACGTTACTCTCGTACTGGGGGTTTGGACATGCAAACGCTCACTTTGGCGCGTTATGTGTTGGAAACATCGTTGCTTTTTTACGAATTTATCTGCGTTCCGGACAGTTTAATGGCTGCGGCAGCTTTACTTTTGTCTATGAGGATGACAAGAGCTGGAGAATGGGTATATTTGTTTTAAAACAATTTATTTTTTCCACACAACTGAATTTCACATTTCACATCCGATCTGAACCCAAATATTTTGAAACTTTGAGTATTGTAAACATGATGCTAACTTATTTCCAGTCAACAAGATTGACCAAATATTCCGGCTATAAATTGGAGCATGTAGAGCCACTTATGTGGCGCTTAAATCATATGATGAGGATGCGTTCGAAAGTCTATCCAGCATGCATAAGCATAGAAGAAAAATACAGCCATCCGTAAGACCACATTTCACGACTTTTGTCCAATTTTTTTGGTTTTTTTTCGTCGTGATCTCCCCACCTTGCAATGATCTCTTACTATTATAGTTACAAATTACCACGTAATATTTTCAGGATCTTCTATAATGCAGCCGATATACAACTCCTCCCAGACAAACGCCCACGTAATGAACCAGTTGGACCACCTGTAGGTCTCGGTTTCGCAAGTGTAGGACTTGTTTGAATATTTGAAAATTAACTGGTTGAGGGTAGAGATGGAGAGAAGATAGATTATAACTGTCCTCTCATAAATATGGCCATAATTGTTCTAAAATGTATCGTCAAAATCCAGAAATGAGGTAGACTACATAATATTATGAAAGGATACAAAAAATAAAGCGCGGGAGAATACTGAAATTTTGCAAAAATCCTCAAAATGATTGTTTTCAGAGTTTTCAGAGAAAATTTGATGTCAACATTTTTGTTTGTTGATGATATGTTCATTTCATTCCTGGATTCTGATAATGCGTTTTAGGGTAGTTGTGACTATATTCCTGCAAATTGTCCTTTATTATTTGCATTTGCTTCAATTTTTATCCAATATTATTTTTTTCTTATTTCCGTGTTATGCCGTCAATACTTTATTAACATTTGTTACAAATTATAATTTCTGCGCATCCTCTCTCTATCACTATAATTACAATATGTCAATTATTACGTCTTTCTTCTGGCTCTCCAAAAAGAAACCCAATTATTAAGCCTAGAGTTCAACAAAATAAAGCGTTGTTAATATATTGCATCTGACATTTGCAATTTGAATATTTGAATTTGAATTCTTGAATATGAATTTCATAGCTGCTGCTGCCTTTTTCTGCTGACGTGCTGCATATTTTTGGGATGAATTGTTTTTCCAAAACAACTTAGTGGACATTGCTAATCAGATGGGATCTGACAAATGCAGAGGGCGTTATGTACATAAACAAGCACAACGCATAGCAAGTTCATATCCTTTCAAGCTAAAGGATGAACTTAAACTTTCCCGAGCTTCGACACATTTCAAATTTGAATGTTGCTGGTGGTAACAGTAGATCCTTGTTGGCTAATGATGCATTCGATTATCGCGACGCTCATGTCCGTTATATCAGCTAGTGGAATATTGCTTAATCGATGCAGTTCATTTGTGATCTGAAAAAAAATTGGCCTGGTTTTTCATATCCTAGATGCAAGGTAATGAGTTTCAAAATGTTCGTGGGATGGTTTCTTTCTGCAAATCTAGGAACTGGAGCTTACTTCATCAGCAGCCTGCATTCCGTCTACACAGCAAGATGCAGTCACGATTACTCCACAGGCCAATAAGAACCAGTCCGCTTGCACGCGGCACATTTGTTCACTGAAATTATGGGAGTTGACGGCGACATTTTGTCCCAGTTGATAAAATATAGACTTCGAAATTAATCTAATACCGTTAAAAAGTCATAAACTTCAGGGATCATACAAATGAATGTCATTGCTATCTCTCCTCCTGCAATAGAGAGCAATTCATGAGAAAAGTAAGGAAATAATTTAGAAAAATACCGTGTAACAATGTATGCCGATGGACCCATTACATTGGCCATCATCCGTTTGTATACATCGTCCCAGTGAATGAAAACACAATCCAGCACTAACAGGATATACTGCCAATAGTTACATGTTTCAACATCTTGTTCCCATTTCATCTCTGAAAATGTTGCAATACTAACAAACATTGCCTAGATTTTCCTATCGTTCTAAACAAAAAATGGTTTTTAAATAATCTATTTTAATACAGGATGGAGACCATTAAAGTTTCTCATTTAATTCATCTAATAATAAACTTATTCGAAAACTATTTTCTGCTATTAACTAAGATAACCTGATAAATTTTGTGCATCGGTTAACTGCTATCAGGTTGAGATAATGTTACAAAATAATGTTTGATTCGATCATTTGACAAATAGATAATGATAATGTTTGACTCGATCATTTGACAAATATTTAAGTACTAAATTTCCCAAATCAGTGAGCAAAAGTTAACAAATTTAAGGAAAATTTAAAAAATTTCGACTTCCGAACTTACTAAGAATTTTAAATAGCGACTCGATATAAACGAGTGGGGTGCAATGATACGCAGGTTCCCAATTGATCATTGATAAAACGCGTAATTCGGATCGTACAACAGATTCTTCCGTATAAGCAAATCCCAACGTTTTCAGACATAACGTTACAGTTTGGATTGACAAACTCTATAAAAAACGGAAAACGCATATATCGATAATTTAAATAGTAAAATTCTTTCTAGTTCCTTGTTTACATAATTTCATGTAAGCAACTTAGTAACTGTACCATAAAACTGTAATTGAGGTCAGTTTTAACAAAAGCTTTCTCCATTTAAAAAGCGACACATTTTCACATAAACAGTACTACACGGCTAAAGTTCTGGTCTCCTTATTAGAGCTTCAAAACAACCCTTTCAGAATTCCCCAATGTAATATGGTCCAAAAAATTTATGGATTCAGAAGTATCGCCTTTTTTCGAGCGAGAATTGTGAATACGTTGTCATTTATTTGGCCACTAAGCGATGAAGCATCCTGTTTAATCCTGTTTATCAGCATTCGAAAGTGATGCAGTCCTAGCCACTTACGACCGTACGAGTTGTTAAGCATTTTTTTCTTTTATTATTTCGGATTTTAGTAGAATTCATCAAGTGAAGCACTTACGTCATGGTAGCTGTGCATTTTGGAGGCAATTTGAATTGCGGAAAGCATTCGTAATGTCGTTTGACGCGATAATGTCGCTTCAATACGATTCCATTCTTGATATTTCTTCCGATCGGATCGTTTCGAGTTGTATATACTTTCATGCAAGCGACTAACTAACTGTACCATAAAACTACAACTAACCTCATCCGTAGAGAAAGAGCTTAGCTACTGTCGATAAAATTGCTTCGTTAAGATTAATAATGTCGTATAATAATGATACAGCTAATTCATATTTTAGTAAGATATAGTTGATAATTGATGTCAAAGGGCACATCTAATAAAAAAAATAATATCATCTTTCTTTTTTGTTCATACATGTGAGATAGAAAGGTGAATATGCAAAGTATTTTTTTTACTTGTCAAATATTAACAATGCACTGTATTTCACTTCTTGTGGTAGACGAAGTCTTGTACAAGCGGTAAAAATATATTCAGCGGAACGAGATGTATGAAACACATGATTCCATTCATTCTGCAAATTTATTTATGAAAATTGATCACCATAAAAGCAAAGGAGATTTTAAATAATGGATAAGGTATATGAGGAATTTACGTGAAAAGTTTCAAAAAATTTTCACTCTACTATGTATCCAATTATAAATTCACTAATTAATGGAAGGAAGTGAAAGAAAAACTTTCCCGAGCTTTTCTAGTTTTCTAATAAATCATTTGGTTAATTAATAGATCAGAAAATTACCGCATCACTAATTCGCCGATTATTTTCGGCAGCAAGTACACTGATCCAATCATTATGCATATCTGGTGGAAGACAAGCAGTTCTATCCAGAAAATCTGGATCTAATATTCGGAAAGCCTGAAAATTTTCTCGTCTTTTCTTTCTCCTAAACATTCTATGATGAAAAACAAATTACACATCTAATATATCTATCGCTTCGCGCTTTCTTTTACAAGATAAAAAACTTTAAAATATTTTATTAAATTAAATGATTTATCAAACTTTTTCATACTTAATCCTTGTAAATCTTTAACTTTTTCCGTACCTGATCCATTTCATCGTCGCTCTTTTCCTCTTCCGATTCTGTCATAATATCAAATTATCAATAAAACACAATGCATAAAATTTTCAACGTAATTTGGCAAGACTGCAAAAAAAGTTTAACTTTTAAATGTAAATACTTTTACAAATTAAAATTAGTAATAATAAATGGAGTAAAAAAAAGGAGAGGAAAAGCTTACAAAGAAAAAGTTAGGCCTATGTATAAGTCAATATCTATAGTCTGTTCACTTTGGGAAAATCCAAGGAAAAATTCTTTGCAAACATACACGTCCACTGAAAGCTAACCTTCCCTAACCTTTTTTACGCAGCATCCATGAACACTCATGCACAAATGTATGCGCATGTATACGTGCTATCAGTTACTTTCCTTTTTTGAAATGGCTGAGATGCGTGTGTGTGTGTGTGTGTGTGTGTGTGTGTGCATATCTTTTTAGGCCAACTGCTTATTGCGTTATTGTTGGATATGTGTGATAGGTTGCGTGCATCATTATATTGTGATGTAAAGATTGTGATGTTTGCGAGTGTATTTTATCCATAAGAGTCGAGTTATTTTACGATTAGACAACTTTTACTTCTGTGCTGCTTACATTTACAAACATACGCTTGCTTATCGTGCATTTGCATTCAGCGTGCGTTGAATCTTTTCCATTTTCAAAATGAATGAGATGTGTGTGCGTGTATGCATATGTATCTTCCAGGTTAACAATTTATTGCGTTGTGATTGGTTGTGTGAAAGACTGAGTAAATCATTACGTGGAGATTTTGTTGGCGTGATATATATATATTGCATCCATAAATGTTCGTTTCTTGTATGCATCCCATGACGTATAGACATTGACGTATTGATTTTATTCGTTAGAAATTATACGTTTTTCAACCAAACAAAACGGAAATTTATTATTAGAATATGTTTATTTTGTATATCCACCTAAATGAATTACAATTATTATATGATTTTGTTGAGACAAATTTAAGGTACAGTCAGATACATATATATCAACCAACGTATAAATGAGATATGATTTAACTAATTCAACGCATATCCAAGAAGTAATTATTAACGTCTTCATTTAGATAAGCGGAATTGTTGGAAGTGAAATAAAATAAGAACTTAATCTTCATTTCCATCGTTTTAGACTTTCATGAGTATCTATTCGCATCGAATGCCAAGTTCCCGTTTTCGGGATTCTATTAACCTCACTTCATCTACCATGACCAGGCAGCAACGACACCTTTGGATATGTTCACAGATACATTCTAGAGTGAGCTTAATTAATCTTTGCTCATTCATCTTTACGTTCAAATATACCAGAACATAACATGGAAAAAATGGGCAAAAGAAAGCAGCAAAAATGGCTAGAAAATTCCGGCAGCTTTGCAATACGTTTATCTGCCAAAGCATTCTGATTCTAATAATCTAGAAATCTGCTAACTAATGCTACTTACAGATAATCTTCCTCATGGTGCAGATTTTGATGATCATTTTATCTCTGGTAATATTGATTAACAATTTCACTAAATTGCACGAGGCTAGTTGGGGACAATTTTTCATCGCTTATGCTCTACTCTTTGGGTTCGTTATCTCTTTAAAATTATCATAGCTTTGGTAGTCAGTTACTGTACACATCGCTAATTAGATTTCTAGAATGACATGATTTGTAAAATGTTTCACAACTTTAGGCAGTAAATTTCATCATCATGCTTCCACATCATCTGATCTTTTTCATACCAGGCTTCGAATGGTCTTTTTCCAGAGCTATTACTGGAATTTGGGCACTAAAACTTGTGGACAACACGTATCAAAAAGATCATCGAGTAAAGAAACATTACTGCATCCCTCCTAAATTCATCATTATTCCATCTTACATTGTACAGGTTTGTAAAAATTAACGGAAAGAAAAGTATGATGCCTAAGAATTTCTCTGAAGAAATACAAGGACCAGAAACCGGACCTGTAACTTGATTTTCTGTTAAATTTGCGTTTAAAAACTTCTTACTTAAGATCGGTTTCATAATTCTATTCGCGTACGAAACCTTCCACTATTTGGTAACAAAAATATCATCGTTTATGGAACTTTCGCCGTTGTTTGTATTGTTTGGTGTTTTAATTCCAATTTGGCTGATATGGATCATAATTTTGTATGTTTTCGCCGCGGAAATTAATTGCTTTATATACGTGGTCAATCGTTCTCGTCATTGGCGTTCTGGGCAATATCCTTTGCTAAATATGCGTACCTCAAATAATGGTAAATAAATCTTGTTTTTATTATCAATTGTATGATCGATAACCAACTGTCAAATGTTCTTACCGTTAATCTTAACACATTCAGTGAAAAGTTTTTGGTAATATTTTTTCCACCTCATCTTAGCATGTTATCACTATACTTCCTGCATAAATGTACCAAAATTTATTGGAAGTGGCATTTTTTAAATCATAAAGTTTTTTATAATGAACTAAGGAAAGTTTTGAGTCAAAACTATAATATAAAATAATAGATTTCAATGCCGTTTGGAAATCACTTTGGTTGTCTATACTTTTGAATTTATTTTATAGTTCAGATTTACCATTTTGTTCATCTGATTGCAGCAAGGCGTCCGTTTAATCCAACATCGTCACGAAAACATCTTGCCACGGACACACTGCAAGAGCGTGAACGAACGAAGTTGTCGGATTCAGTTGCTATTGTCAATAGGTGAAAAGCCTCATATATCTGCCATTCGTATTTATCCTTCAAGTTCTATTTTTTTTGTCTTTAATTATTTTCTTCAGCAATTTCAGTGGATCAAGGAAAACGTATAATAACACGGAAACCAGAATTGAAGTGATTCCTTCCATTCATGCAACAGAAAAGATGGCACCATGTTTCTCGGAATATTCACGAATGGGTATCTCGATGATCAGTTCTCAGCTGGAAACCGTTCCAGAAGAATCCTCAAAATCTACAAATTCTTTACCATGATACAATTTTTTTCTTCCTTAAATTCTTTCTCTACTTTCTCTGTTGAATGATGTACTTCTTTTTGATATGTCTTGTTCTACATTTCATTTAAGAGTGTTGTGCTTCTGAATGATTGATAGTTTATCAATACAATTTCCAATTACTTAAATTTTCATTTCTGGAAGCTTCATACTTATATCATAAAGTAAGAAGTCACGAAAGATTACAAATTAATAGAACTGGACAGCCATGTATTTAATTTGAATTTTTTTGATGAACATCCTGATAAAATTAAATGGTTTTTCTTCTTGATTTGTGTTTTCTCCAGAAAATTAAACAAATTAAACGGTTGGTGCAATTTTGAAAACTGTTATTTTGAAAAGATATTTTGTAATCGTATTTTCTTGTTGGTAAATGTTTTCTTTGTTTGTCTTAGCAAACTTGACAACAAAATCAATGCAATGAATTATAAAAGTTGCTTTCTTAGTTCTTTTTGCAGGCTTTTTCGAACGATAAAAAGCATTACTGCAGCATATAAGCACCTTGTATGAATAACTAAATGACTCATTTCTAAATTGCTGCATAAAGCAAGAAATCTATAGTTGCGATAACAATCCAAGCATAGCATTGTTTTTCTTAGCTCCGAAATCCAGTTTTGATCTTTACGAAATCCATTCCATTAATGTAATCGCTATATTCTCATGCCACCTTGTCGTCATGAATTTTTGCTCACATAAATTGCACCTGCACTGTCATTAAATAACTACAAGATTCTGATGCAACAGTGAATTTGATTGCTTAGGTGGAAATGGTTCAATCTTACTGATGTTTGTGTTCAGCTTATTTCTCTTTCCAAAACTGGTATTACGCTAGAAATAATGGTATTAGCAAATCGGGTCATCCAAATACTTCTTTTCAGCTTATCCTGAAGGAAAGGATGTAAGCGAACGAAATAAAAATAGTTTTTTTTTCGAACTTCTCTTACTTTTTTGATTGATTAATTTTTCTTCTTTCAGCGACGTAAAAAGAGATCGCAGATCTTTCAGCGACATAAAAAGAAATCGCAGATCTTTCAGCGACATAAGAAGAAATCGCATAAACTCATCCACTCATTTCTGAATGATTTCAAAGTAATTTATTACATAAAAACAATAAAATATTTGTGAAAAACAACAACATGTTTTTTTACAAAAATTTTAAAAAATTTTTTTAATTAAACAACAGAAGATGGTTTAATTGTATTAACTTTCTACTAATTAAAATTAATTTTTGAATAATTAATTACACCAATAGCAAAAGCTGGTAATGGTATCATAATTATTTGTTAATATAAATGCTAATTTCTTTATCATCTTCAATATCAGAAAATGTATTTACGTTACGCCAAACTTTCAATTTTTCGTAGTTCAATTACTTCTTTTTCATTTTAGAAATAATTCAGTTTTTTTTGCGATATGAAACATTGTTTTAAATTTGCTATTAAAAGCAATTAGTGAATTGAAGAGCCATAATCATTTAAATATTAGTTTTAGTTTTAAGTTTAACTTTAGTTTTAAATTTGCTTTTTCAATTAAAACAATTGAATTATTTTATATGCTATTACAAATGGAAGGAAATCGATCAAACATTTCGAAGCATTATTTAATTGATTTTTTTAATTGGAACTAATTGAATAAGTTTTATGTAGTTATCCATTCTGTATCAATTTCACTTACTTTCTTACAGCATTACATTAAAGCGATAGTAATTAAAACTGCTACTAAACACTTAGTGATAATTTAATATTAATATAATTAAATTTTGAATGAGAAATTATTCATTAGAGTATGAGTGATCTGGTAAATCTGATATTTTACCTTGTAACTATTTTAGATTTGTTAAGGAATTGAAAAACGAATTGTTAGATATATGTATCATTATAATGAAATGAAATATTTGTAAAATTTATAATTCTAATCAATTCTCTTACATTTATGATGATCTATTTATGTTATAAAATACTTTTTCACCGATATATTTTGATTTCTAGCAGACTATCGAACATACTCAATTCGTTTACATTATCCATTTTCATTTCATTTCACATTTACATACTTTTTTTTTAAGCTGAAATTAAAATCCAATAGTTTAAAAAGTCTTAAATGAAAACTTAAATGCTTTTTCACCTCTGTTAAAATTTAGATGATTTTTTTTAAATCTTAAATTTAGACAGAATTATTATTCTCTCATTCATTGAATGAATGTTTTTTCAGATTCCCGTTTTATGACAACAGCATATATAGTAAACGACATGATAATAATTTAGCCGTATATTTTTGGTATCATCATTTAGTGCTATTTGGTATTCATCTTATTGAATTTTGTAATTTTGTCATTTCTGTGTTATGCGAGAAAACGATATTTATTGAAGAAAGCCATATAGAAGGAAAATGGGATGTCTATGTATATTCCTAAAAAAAATTCAACTGCTGTTTACAGCTTCTCACTTCAGTAGCCTCCATCATCGTCTGGTTCAAGTGGTTCTTCAATTTCATCTGCAGCAACCTAAAGAATCAGAAACTCCTTAGTCATATTTAGATCTTTTAAAATTTCATTCTTTTGAATAATAGTCTAAAATCAGGAAAATTCCAATTAAAGGTTATAAAAGAGGTAAAATGCTAGACGTTGTAAAGTAGATTAGTTGGAAAAGAGAATAAGTAAATGTTTACCTCAACGTAATCTTTCTCAAGAACAGCCAGATCTTCACGTGCCTCAATGAACTCTCCTTCCTCCATACCCTCTCCAACAAACCAATGGACAAAAGCGCGTTTTGCAAACATCAAGTCAAACTTGAGGTCTAAACGCGACCATGCCTCAGCAATGGCTGTTGTATTAGCCAACATACAAAGTGCACGTGGTACAGGTGCAACATCACCATCTGGTACCACTGTAGGTGGTTGATGATTAACTCCAACCTAGAAATTTTAATTTTAAACTTTATAGGAAGAAAAAAATCTTTAAAAAAATGAAAAAATTTATTCTCTTTAATAATCAGATATTCATAATAAATCTGTGATTTTTTGAATTGTTTTTCAATAGCAATAATTTACCTTGAATCCAGTGGGGCACCAATCTACAAATCTGATCTGTCGACGCTGACGGATGGAACTAATAGCCTCATTAACATCATTCGGAGTGACATCACCGCGGTACAAAAGACATATCGACATGTATTTTCCATTTGATGGATTACACTTGGAAATAGTTTATATCAGGAAAACTATTAAATCAGGTAAAACAAATTGAGATAGTAAGTCAAAATAAACCGGAAAAGTGTCGAAGATCGAAATGCTTAAATAATTCAAAACAGAATGATTTGAAGAATACGAAACCAATTGTAATCTAAGAAAACAAGTAATTATTTATTAATTTAAAGCTGAAATAAAATGATTGAAATTTATAACAGCTTACCTTCACCATTTGATTGGGAGCATCGAAACAATCACGGGTGATATCAGTGACCGAAAGAGATTCATGACGGGCTTTTTCGACAGAAACCACTGGGGCATATGTCACCAGCGGAAAATGAACACGTGGATATGGTACCAAGTTCGTTTGGAATTCCATCAGATCCACATTTAATGCACCATCGAAGCGCAATGAAGCCGTGATCGACGAAACGACCTAAAAAAAGGATTGATTGGGATTGACTGATCAAACATTAACTCTATCGATCAATACTGCACTCTTTAATAATAGCGAACTCTAAAATCTTAAAAAATTTTCAAATGACTACAAACTTATCTTTTATCAATCGATAATGCAAAGTAACTAACTATTGGTATTACTACCATTTCCATTCGAAATATTATTCTTTTCGCGAAATGTATCATATTTCTTTCTTTTTTTTCAGATAATTTTATAACAACTAATTTTGATTACAAAAAGACTATCGAATAAGTTAAAATATAGAAGGCTGTCAAATGTTATTAAGTAATTAGCAGCTAGTAATAGCAAATATCAATGATCATTTAACATGTGTTAAATTATCAAAGATAATTTGATATTATATAAAGAAACCTGAGCGATAAGACGATTCAGGTTAGGATAGGATGGTCGATCAACATTTAAATTATAATGACACAAGTCATAAATTGCTTCATTGTCTACAATGAATGAACAATCGGCATGTTCAAGGGTACTGTGAGTTGTAAGAACCGAATTATACGGTTCAACCACAGCGGTTGAGACTTGCGGTGCTGGATAGATCGAAAATTCCAGCTTGCTCTTTTTTCCATAGTCAATTGTCAAACGCTCCATTAGCAGCGATGTGAAACCGGAACCAGTACCGCCGCCAAACGAATGGAACAGGAAGAACCCTGAAAAATTGAAATGAATATTCTGTAGCCTACTCTTACTACTATTTCTTTTCCATTCTATCATCGTTCATAAATCTTAAACAACATTTTTCATCCATCCTGAAATACTTCATACTTCTCTCTTTTCTTTGGTCCAACAAGTATGGGTCCCAAGGAAACTTAGGGAATTTAAAAAAATTGAAAGATATTTGATAAATTCTCTCTGATAATAGCAGAGCAATAACCCTGTAATCCACCGCAATGCTCGGCCAAACGACGGATACGATCCATAACCGTATCAATCACATCTTTGCCAATTGAATAATGCCCACGAGCATAATTATTTGCTGCATCTTCACGACCGGTTACCATTTGTTCCGGATGGAACAAATCTTTGTATTTTCCGGTACGAACCACATCTATAATATCAAATCGATTCATTTCATTTAATCAATATATTTATTTGTTCATGCTTTTTTGTTTAAATTAATTTAAAGAACTAATAAACGAAACAAAAATTTATGCAAATTTTCGATACTTAATTGGTGGAATTAAAAAGCTGTGATTACCGACAACAGTTGGCTCCAAGTCAACTAGCAAAGCACGTGGAACATAATGTCCAATAGCGGTTTCGGAGAAGAATGTTGTAAGTGATGACGAATCATGTTTTCCTCCCGATTCAGAAGCTAGTTCGCCATTTGGTTGAATGCCATGCTCCAGGCAAAATAACTCCCAGCATGCACTACCAATTTGCACGCCGGCTTGGCCAATATGCACAGAAATTATTTCACGCTAGAGTTTAATGAAATTTTAACCCATCACTTTTACATTTAAGTCATTTAAAAAAACTATTCGTAATGTCGAAGTTATTCAGCTCTTTTCCTTTCTAAAAAAAATATGCAAATTAATGGATGTAGTGCTAAAAATATGCAAATTTAATGAATAACATTGACACTATGAATAACTTTCGATCATAGTGTGTATTAAAATATACAAATTTAATGTATGCAAGAATCTGGGAATTTGTTAAAGTTATTAATTTATACTGATATGAAGTGAAGATAAGCCAGCTAATCTTCTTGGTAAGATGGAAAATTAGAAATATTAATTAGTAAGATAATGCAATAATTACAAATTTATAATTCTAAATATTAAATGGCAAATGTAAGATTCAATCGTTATAAAGAGATTTTCTTGAGTTATATTGATAACATTTAAATTTTATTGATCCATAGGTTCATTTAAATAAATCAATAAATTAAATTTAGATAAAAGAACATGTATATACCATCTTTTTGATATCCATTTAATCGATAGATATTGCTGTTTTTTTTGCTGAAAAATAAATTATCGATTAGGATAATTAGGATAACAGCATATTATATGAATGATAAATCTTTGTGAGATTGTTAAATTTGGTGTTATTTGATTTATTGCACAAAGAACAGCTTGAAGAATAAAGTAAGCAAGTTTTTTTCACTCTTATGATAATTAAATTAATGATTTGATTGTATTACACATATCAAATTTGAATTTATGATTTTGCCAAATAAATTCTTATCTTCAACTTTTCAAAGAATCCAATCCTTCAGTACTAATTCTCTAATGAAATAACAGTTTTATGTAGGAGGATATTTCAAGTAAACGAAATTGTTAAAACTTTGACACTTTGAATGATTAGAAAGAATATATTAGTTTTTTTAAATTATAATTGCAATTAGATACAGACCGATTAATCAAAATTATGAAGGCGAAGTGATGAAGAAAGTGTTAATTAACTCTGATAAGATTTCGCAATCAAATGAAGGCCAAGAAACAACCCAAGCAGAAGAACCAAACCGTCCGGTAGAAATAATATTCCAAGAATGGTGCAACCGATCATTTCTTAACTATTATTAAGAGCGAAGTTACTGTTACAAAAATTTGCATATTTTGCGTGAAAACTAAGAGTGCGTGTTGTACCATTCTGCTTCCCAATAATGCATTCCGCATGTTAATACACACATACATACACACACACACACACACACACATACATACACGCACACACACATACATACATTTCGAAAGATGTATCCCTCCAGAAATGGATAAGAGAGTGAAATTTCAAATTAAAACGAATCAAAATTTAAATTATAATCTTCTGTAATGTTCTTTGTCAGAACGCATTCTACATGTCAACACATTTCAGGAAAAGCAAATTAGATTGAGGGACGGATAAAAGGAGTAAAACTTTACTGTAAATTGTTACGAATAATTTTTTGTTCTAAATTAATTTTTTGATTGATATCGAACTTTGAACAATAACTTAGAATAATTTAGAATTAATTTGTTCTTATCATAGCGGTCAATATTGTTCAATTCTAATTTTAAACTTTAATTAGGAAATGAATGTTTAATTTGTGTTTGATCTATGATTGTATTAATTTTCACTCGATTTTCTTTGGCCCTTAAGTCGGTGAGCTAATTTTTTTGCAATGATCCTTTCATCGAACATGGAGTGAAACAATTGAGGTGTTGTCACAAATAATTTTATAGGATTCAAATTCAAAAATAAATGGATGGGATTGCATGTTTCATAGAGATGCAGCGTGAAAATGAATATGTTATCATATTTGATTAACGGGAAAGTTGAAGCTTTTTTGAGAACTGCATGGATCAAGAATGGGCTGGCCGCCGGAATCTTGATTATTTCAGGATTATTTCAGTGTTTCCCTTTTTATTCAACTGTTTCCGAATTTTACTACTCCATCACCTTTCCAGTGTGCCAAACGAGTCAAATAATGGTTGCAGTGGCTGCAGTTAGACAACGTGAGAATAAAAAAAGTACTGGATTTCAAGAGGCTACAAACAACACAAGGATTTTTATACTCTCTCACACTGCAAAAAAATGTATAATTGTTGTTGGAAAATAACATTTGGGTTGAGGACCCAACAAAGATTGATGAGATTTCACATAATACAGTAGTTCCACTGATAGAGAAGATAAACAGCAGAGATTAATAAAATTTGTGCATTAAAAAGAAAAAGGGATTGATAGTAACATTGGCAGTGATTGAGTGACTTTAGAATTTTTATTTTTTTTTGTTTTCGTTGCAAAAAATTTGTTATAATTTATGGAATAAGTTATTGGAGGAATTTGCAGATCATGTGCCATAAGCGTCAGTGCTACGATAAGGGTGTATATATCGGTCTAAGATAAAAGATTCCCTTTTTGCTTCATTGCAGCACTTACAACTAAATCGATGGATGATGCTGTAAGTTTAACATCGTGATTTTCATTTTTCTTTTTTCTTTCAAACTGCAAAGCATTTACGCCAACGAGAGTGTGTATGTTTATATTATGTTTATATTAGCCGAAGATATGAAAAAAGCAGTGCCGTATAATGGACGGAAGTAAATTTGGTTTGCTTGAAAGTCCAAAGCAGATATGACCAAACACATTATATTGCCATTCAGGATAAAAATCATCTGAAAGTTTAGCAAATATATATTAGTGTAGCCATTTCGTGATCCGGATCTTCCCAGTTATAGTATTTTTGATCATATTAATCACCTTGTACTAAGTTAAGTCGAATAAGGGTGATTATAAGGGTGGTTCTGTATTTTTCTTGCTGGTAATATGAGTTGTATTATGAGATATAATTGCAGAAGTATGTATTATCATAGGAAATTCATAGAAGCTACGGCGTGGCTAATAATAGATGATAAGGAGGAGGAGTCATCAAAGTGTTTTGTTCAGTATAACGTCATTCTGTCCTAAAGAATTTAAATGAGGTATCTCTTTCAGAGTAGCGATCCACCACTGCCAACATGGTTTCAGGAATTGCGTCATGTGGTGAAGATCGTGGGCATTAACGAAGAAATTGCTGATAGAGATTTATGGCATGTCTTTTACTAACAAGTTTATATTTTTTAAGAAATTTCGGTTGTCTCGGTTTTGCTGTATAATCACAATCTTCATTGCTTTATGAGCAACCAGGACATAGATTCATTCGGAAGATGATGCTCGCTAGAACAAGACATCATGGAAAAAGCAAAGTCTATAAACTTTCATCAGTTTCGGCTTTTTATCGCTAAAAATATTGCAGGCGAAAATATTCAAAGGAACGCATGAGAACAGTTTCGGTAGCCCTCGTATTATGTCTGAACATTGGTGTCGATCCACCAGATGTTCATAAGCCGAATCCATGTGCACGGAGAGAGTGCTGGATTGATCCAGTAGGAATGAATCCTCAGAAAGCAGTCGTTAAAATCGGAAATGCACTCCAGAAAAGTTACGAACGTTGGCAGCCGCGTGCAAGGTAACTCGGCAGCAGTAGGTTATTTGCTGTTTCTAGGCGTTGTGTCATATACAACGGTGGATTCGTAAGGATGATGAAAACTACACGGTTTTCTATGCATATTATATATTTGTCTGGTACTATTATCAGATGAAGTTATGATCCACTCTGGTTTTGAGTTCTTTTTTACAGGTATAAAACAGCGAATGACCCAACAGTAGATGATGTTCGACGTTTATGTCAAAGTTTACGACGTAATGCTAAAGAAGAACGCATTCTATTTCATTACAATGGACATGGTGTTCCAAGACCTACTGAAAATGGTGAAATATGGGTTTTCAACAAAAATTTCACTCAGGTATCTGAAATATTTCAAATATGTGATAATTTCATTTTCGAAATCAATTCAACTAATAAATTACCAGTATTGAGAATAAGTTTCAGTACATTCCGCTTTCGATTTTTGACTTACAGTCTTGGATGGGTCATCCGGCCGTGTATGTTTGGGATTGCCACTGTGCCGGTCTAGCTGGTAAGTTACAGAATTTTTTTTAACAGAATTTAGCGCAGTGATTAGAAAAGTCATTTTTCATGAGAAATAATTCAAATGTTACTTATACAAATGGATCAAGTTGAGCAGTTGTAGTTTTTATGCTTTGATAAACTCTTCAATGACTTGTTGGAATTAATTGATGTTTTTAAGATTTCTTTCTTGCCATTTAATTTCTTGATTTAGATTTCTACCTTTATTCTGCGAGTTAAATTAAATAATAGGGTTGTATTTTAGTCCTTTTGTCATCGCATTTTACATGTTATGAATGTATTTTAGTAAAATCTTTCTTCCGCTTTGCTGAAGATCATGAAAAAGAGTGGGTTAAGCAACTCGATGAACACATGGAAACGCGGCCACCACCATTACCAATCATTCAAGCCGAAATGACTCTTGAGGAAAAAGCATCCGCTTTTGGATTCCGGAAGAAGCCAAACTTTAAAGTAAGTTTTTTTTAACTATCTGTCGAATAGAAATCATGGTTTTATAACGTAATTATGATATGAATTATAGGAATGTATCCACATTGGTGCATGCGGAGATCACGAATTACTTCCAATGGATTCAAGACTTCCGGCTGATCTTTTCACTTCCTGTATTTTAACGCCAATCCAAACTTCAGTATTGTGGTATATCGTAAAAAATCACCTGGAGGTATGTACTATTTGAAGTCATATTTTATGTATCTGTTTGTCTAAACGTTATGTTGATCGTATTTAATGTACTTAACTATATTTCAATGTTTCAGGACCGATTCCCAGTAACAATAGTTGACAAAATTCCTGGTCAGCTAAGTGATCGTCGAACCATGCTTGGCGAGTTAAATTGGATATTTACAGCCATCACCGATACGATTGCATGGAGTTCGCTTCCAAAAGAATTGTTTCAGAAACTATTTCGATTGGTACGCTTTAGATTTCTTTCGACAAGGTCTCTTGATTCCACTTTTCAAGAAGTCTTTGTTCCATCCTTATCCTAATTTTCTTACTTTCAATGTATTATGAAACTAACTGTGAAGCTTGTCGTTCTTTTTATTTTGGTATATTGTAGTGGCTTTTGCCAATGAAAAAATTGTAAATTATCACTGAAAATATAAGACTTTCTGTATTGTTTTTCAGGATTTGCTAGTTGCATCAGTATTTCGAAGTTTTGTATTGGCTAACCGAGTAATGCGCGAAAATCAGTGTCATGTTGTTTCTCGTCCTTCCTTGCCATCTGTTCATAGTCATCCTCTTTGGGATGCTTGGGATTATACCATTGATTTATGTCTGAGTCAGATACAGGGATTCACGACACCAAAGCAAAAACTTTGGTCTGTTGCAAAAGAAATATATTTCTCACGTTCATCCGTTCGTCATGAATGTATGTTTGAGTTGAAATTAATTATTCATAAGTGAAGTTTAAATCGCGGTTCAACAACATAGAAACAGTTGTTTTGAACCTTTCCGAAATATCTAAAAGAATCGAAATGTG